CATGATTTTAAATCTGCAGATAATACAACCATAGACCTGTTGGTACTTAAAGCTACTATGAGGAACTTTTCGTTGGTGTTGGATCTGGCGCCCCCTGTGGACCAGATGGTTTTTGCAGATTTTGTCCTGTACATCTGAATTGGTGTTGCGTGACAAAATTTCATCCCTCTTTCTTTTAACTCTGTCCCCGCTGATAATGAGATGTGTCGCTGACATGTTCACAGGAAAAAACAAGAGGAGAAGTTGACAAAGGTCATGAAAGTGGCATGTAAGCACAGTCAACCTATTGTGCATTTATTCACAGCTGCATGCATCTACACAGTAGTAGTAATGCCGAATCTGCAGACACTCCACCCAGAATTCACAGAAACAGGTTTTGAAATCAATATTATCAAAAATAAAAGGAACAAAATTGTAAGAAGCTTTTCAGTCTGCTTTGAAATGACAAAAATAGACTTTTCTGAAAAGAAACAAACATGATTTTCTCCTTTTTTTTGACTGAAATGATGCAATTTTATTCTCAATACTGATTAAAACAAAAGAAAGAAGTTAGAATAAAATATTTTGAGAGCATAAAAGTTCAAGAATGTTGGCAGGTGAAGAGTTAACAGTCCTAAATAGAGCCTGTATAAGCAGTCACTGATTGTTAAACATTAATATTAAATACAATCTGGCTGATTACTAATGTAAGCTAACGGGCTGTCAAATGTGTTTTTAAATGAGAATATAAACGGGTCTTTCTCCTGATCATCTCTGTCTTTAGTCTGTTTGACTGCTCATCAATCATGAGCAGTGAAATCACCAAGAAGATTGAAAATTATATGACTCACCAACTACAACACCGTAATATACATGATAACATACGAGTTTCTCACCCTGAGCATGATCATCACGGGAATAAGGTTTATATAATTCATTTGACTCCTAAACAAGACACCATTAAGAGTGACTCATGTTATTATGGAGTGAAAACTTTGCGATTTAAAAATGCCATCAAAATAAATCACTGTTAGAAATTGCTAATTCATTAGAACTTGTGAATAAATCAACCTGGAGAAAGGTTCACAAAAACACAGTCCATGTGTTGCTAAGTTTAAATTCCTGTGAACACAAGAATGAAATACTTACAGTCAACTTTGGCAGGAGCACATGGTGGAGATGCTGATGAATATTCTGCTTACTGCACCAAACAGTGTGAAGTCCAAAAGTCACATGAAGCAATGTCGCCATCCAGTGGACATAGACTGTTATGGTAATATTTTGTCGAGCTGTTGTCTTATATATTACTCCCTAATGCTGATACGTAAATAAAAACAGTGCTCTATAAATTTTAAAACATGGTATCATATACAGTATGTTGCACCTGGTGTTGTTAAGGTAAAAGCAGCAGAATATTATATATTCTTTTAAAGACTTCATTTATGGGTTAAAGTTGAAAACATGCGCCAAGAGATTGTGCAAGAGTTCATTTGAGAACAGCAGAGGAAGTGGAGTTCAAACCTCTGACGGGGGGAATCCCTCCGTCCAGATCGTAATCCTGTTAGGTTTGTTGACCCCTACAGGTCAGCTATAATTGAGGGACTGCACCAACAACCTGTGAACACAAACATGAACGTAAATAAGATCGAGAAGTGCAGTCTTTAACCTTTAATAGCAAACCCTTTTATTTTTAAAAAGGTGGATTTTGAATTCCTGATGTCCTTAGACTCACTGCTGCATTATTGAAAAATAAGCTCAATGGTGTGGTTCATCAGTTTATGCAATAAACTTGCCCTTTGATTCCAGGGTAGAGAATTAAACGCTGCAAAATTGTAATAAAAGTGTCAGAATAGTTTGAGTAAAATCAATTGAATCAATTAACCTTTTTTTGTTGTTGTTGTCTTTCTTTCTTTTCCTTTTTTCTGAGGACACGTAGAGCTCAGACCATGATGCCTTTCATTAAATCCTCTTATGGTCACTCTGAGTAAACCTCTCTCTGCTCTAAAGTTGGTCAAGATTGACTGGCTAATTTTAGATCCGCCCTATAGGTCGCTCTTGTCCTTGTTTAACACCATATGGAGTGTGTCTGTCTGACCAGCTCTAATGTATTTTACGCTGGCTTTAAAGATACAGTAAAACACACAAAATCCAAGAAAGAACGCTGATGTAATCATTGATTTTTGAGGATAAAAACCTAAGTGATCAACTTTCTGGATTCACTCTGACTGATGATATATTTTGTGTGATCTAAACAGGGCAAGTAAATATCTTTGAACTCTGTTAAAGGTGCAGTGTGTTGTATTTAGGAGTATCTGCCAAAACAGTCTCGGCATTCATGAAAAATGATATTTTTTAATTATGTTTAAATTTGTGTAGAATCACATTTTGTGTTTTTTGTTAAATTAAAATAATAGTTTAGTATCTACATAGCAACAGGTGTCCTTCTATAGAGACCCCCGTCTTGCACAACCATGTTTCTACTGTGGCAAAGAGTGGACAAACTAGTAACTTGTGCATTTTTGGATTTACTGAGTGTCTTTGTAAAATATGCCTGTTAAGAAGAGAGTCACAAAATTGTTGACTTTGTGAATTTTTGTTGGCCAAAAGTTGAGATAAAGAGGATCATAGTTAGCATGCATCTTGTCCTCAATGGCCACCATCCCCTCTGGAGCTTCACCAATGGATAAAGTGAACACTTATCAAACATACCCATACATTTTTAATCCCATTTCTATCAAGACTAAAACTAAAACTATGAACTGTACCTTCAGTTGTACATTTACATCTAGATCATTTGTCATCTATTGTACAACATGGGTTGGTGCAAAGGGGCTTTGTCATTGTAGATTTACAATTAAATCCACACAATCAGATCAATAATAGGAAAAAGTGTGGGAACTTTTCGAGGCGGAGAAAGTAGAGTATTAGCAGATTTTCCACACAGGTAATTCACAAACACATAACACGACCTCCCTCGACCTCAGTCCGCACGGATTTAAGGACCTTGTACAGGGACCTTCATGAGACTAAGACGCTGGAACATCCATGTTTTCATGAGACAGACTGCATGTAATTACAGACAGTACAGACATCGCTCTAATGAACCTGGGCTTGTGTAAAACTCTTACTGCTCAGAAGGATTTCAGCGTGGATCACACACCTAATGCAGCGCTCACTGACCGATAAGACATCAGCATGAAATAAATCCCAGACTTTACACCAGAGATGATTAAACCAACCACAGACATGTTGTGTTAGCACCGTGTTAAAGCTGAAGCAAAAGGTCAGCGGTCTAGCACGTCTTATTGGTAAAAATATGAGTATTTATGTTGCTCATGAGGCTTGATTTTGAAACTGAGTAAGAAGAATCGAAACTTACGAAGAGACTTGTCCTGTTTCAAGTTTTTATAACTTTATTTAGCTCTCAGGAAGAAAATGAGACTAATTCCCACATTAACTTTTTGCATATCATCTTAAAGTGTAAAAGGTAACTGATAGGACCCCAACCAACAAGTCTTCTTTAGCTATTACCTTAAGTGTCTTGTGCACTCGTGCTCATTTGAACCCAGTGAGCTATACTCTGTATCCTCAAAGTTTCTGTAGGATTTGGCCAAGCAGCCTATCCCTCCATTCAGTCTAATTAAAAGTGATTGATACGCCAAATCCCAAATTAGCATGTTCGAGAGCGACTTAGTCCCTCAGCTTCTTTTTCCAGATCAGGAAAACAACACTGTGACTGATTGGGTTTGGCAATAGGTTTGGACTCCAGCCATCTGGCAGAGAGACTCCTGAACCAGAAGGCGTACCTGAGAGCTGCCACCCAAACATAGCTCACTCCTCTGCATATAGGACGTGTGCCTTAAAGGGATATTCTGGCGTAAATTAAGTTATGGTCCAACACACCATAACACAGAGTTAGACACCCTCTCGAGAGATGAATGTTGTCGACTCCTTGCGTCTCTAGTTATACCAACTTTAGTAATAATCGCACAATAGCAATACACAGAATAATAATCATCATAATAATCATTTTGCAGATGCGCTAGTTCTTCTGCCTAAGCGTCGTGGACTAATTGCATTTCCATAAAGTAATGATCATAAATGTTCTTCCTTGAGCTGCGAAACTCCGCTGCACTCAGTGATTGACTCATCAGGGCTCCCTCATAAACAAGCGGCTGCTGGAGGAGAGTGGATGAGTTGTGTTTAGTCTTTGTGTAGTGCTAGCATGCGGTTGTTACTAAAGTTGGTATAACTAGAGAAGCAAGCAGTCACCAACATTCATCTCTCCAGGGGGTGTGTAACTTGGTGTTACGGTGTGTTTGACCCTAAATTAATTATCCCTTTAATTGTTTGGCCAAACCAGGGCCTCACCAATCACTCAATATGGTCTTTTTAAAGTCATAAAATACTGGTGTTGTGATAAGATGGTTCCTATGACTGGTAATGCAGTTTTTCTAAGATTTCCATAAATATTCTGAAAATATTTTGGCCAAAATAATCGGTGGGTTAAAAATCTGATATTATGACAACCCTGTCTGTCTGTCTGGACCGTCCCCGCTTGTTTTTTAGGAAGGACCATCCAAGAAACGTTTATTCGTCCTTGGATCTGAAATTTACCATCATGCATGCTCTTACACATCAAAATTACCAAGTCGTAATTCAACACACAGTCTGCACAAACACGACTTTCCTGTAACTTTCATCACAGTCATTGCACTTCTTTTCAGGCCAAGAGGCAGCTGTGGCTCAGTTGGCAGAGTCGGTCGACTCTCAGTTTGAAGGCTGGGTCTCACTGCCACATGCTGAATTGTCCTCAGGCAGACACTTATCCCCAAATTACCCCTGCTGGCTGTGCCCAGTGGTGTGTGAATGGATTAGTTAATACTGATGGGCGCTTCAAATAGCAGCCTGTACAACTCTTGACATGTATGACTGTGACGTTATAAATACAGTCATTATTTTTTTGTTGTCAGGAGGTCATTTCAGGCCTTATTCCACACCTTTTGATTTGAGATGATGCACCTTCACAAGCTTGCTCTAGACCAAGAATTAGCTGCAGACCTACTGAACTCAAGAGGAGGAAACCCCAGCAAAGTTAATACCAGAGTAATCCTGAGGCCGCACTAATCACGTCTCTAACGTAAACTGTGGCTTTAGGATCCTAGGAGGTATTAAAAAACATCTTAGAGTGTGAGAGACCTGTCCCCTTCGGGTCAGGCCGCTCCATTGCGGAGTTTTTCCAAAGGCTAAAGGACTATGGGCTCATAATTAAAAAGACAGCCATGGGACAGACACAGCAGACGGAGAACAGTGAGGAGATTGACGTCAAAATGATTCAAGACATGTACAAAAAGTTTGTCATGGAGTGCCCGAGCGGACGGCTTTTTCTTCACGAGTTCAAGCGTTTCTTTGGCGTGGATCCGACAGGTGAAGCGTCAGAATATGCAGAGAACATGTTTCGTGCTTTCGACAAAAACGGGGTAAGAAAGCAGAAGCTGACACAGCCTTGAATTCTGTACATGTTTTACTGGAGTGTGACTAGTTAGACAGCTGTCATACTCTTCCTCTCATTCACCTCCTTTTTTTAGGACAATACAATTGATTTCCTTGAGTTTGTGGCAGCTCTGAATCTGGTTTTCAGAGGGGATCTGGATCATAAACTGCGCTGGTCATTCAAAGTGTACGATCAGGACAACAATGGCTCTGTGGACAGGGATGAACTTCGGGCCATCGTTAATGTAAGTACCTGAGTGTGAACTTTAAAATGCCTTGTGGCTGCTGGATGCAACTGCTCACTACTTTGACTGTGTTTCCTGTCCCTCTTTTTTCTCCATCAAATGCCACACTGCTTTGCTTTTGTCATCTAAAAAGAACTGAGAGAACATGTTAACATTATGGTGAAAGAATAGATGATACTAATAGCATTAACAACAGCTCTATGAGGTGTCCTTGTAAGCCACTGCAGACTAAAGTAATACCAGGAGACTAAAACTGAAGCTGCTAAATAAAACCCAGCTGTCTGTCGTTTTACAGACTATATCTGTGATTTCCACCATAATTACCAAATCCATCAAATTCCATTTTTATCATGACTGGTTGTCAAAGCTATGTAAATTTGTTATTTTCCAACTGAGATTATTCTCACCAATTTTGATCGCATAATCTAAATTTTTACATTTTTTGTAGAGACCAACAGAAATCAGAAAAGTTGATCTCTCAAAGAAACAAATTTACGAACAAGCTACAAGCTTGTCTATCGTCCTGTTGGCATGACAGCATAGATGGTCATGTTGAGATTTGGATTATCTTGTCAACCTGGCACTCAGCAGCATCATTAATCCAACAACCGCCTCGATTTAGCTTGTTTTTGCACTCTTTCACGGCCATGTTGTTTTGCTGACAAGCACGGGAAAGTTGAACGAAATTCGAAAACCAGTATCTATTTTTAGACTGAGCCACTAAATCTGTAAAAGTAGTTTGTTTTTAAATTGGTTTATTAATTATATTAGCTTGATTAGCTTGCACACGATATTTTGTAAGTAAAGTCATGTACATGACATTGCCGAAATACCTGAGGTGAGTCAGTGCAGATGTTTAGGTTTCACCTCTATTTTTTTTCATCCTTTTTACACTAAACAACTTTCTTCTTTTCCATCTAGAGCATCTATAAGATAAAGAGAGGCCAAAAGATGGACACACCTGATGGGCAGATGACCGTTGATCAGATTGTGGATCGGATATTTCAGGCTGTGGACACTGATGGAGATGGTAAGCTTTCCACCAAGTTTAGTGGCATATATGCAGATGTTCTTGTTGGGCCAACAAAGCAAAAAAAAAAAAAAGCCTGACTTTATTCTTTATTATGTTGTTTCACAGGTCAAATCACCGTGGAGGAGTTTATCCGGGGTGCAAAGCAGGACCCCTGGCTGTTAAACATGCTGAAGTTGGATATAAAACCCACCATATGGATGATGGAGCAGAGAAGAAAGAGTGCCCACTTTTAAAATGTCACAGCCAAAACACTTTCAATCCTGACTCCAAAAACACAGCAGCTCTATTCAGCAGACATATGCTGAATTTTCCACCTCCCTTTTTTTAAAGGAGTTTGCAACAAGGCCACGGTGGCGATGATAGACCATATCGCCACAGTGGGCATCATTATGTTAGGAAGCTCAACTATTGCTGTAATGTTCTGCTAAACTATTGAGGATCCATGTTATCCAGGCATTATCCATGTTTTTACCTCTAAAGCAGTAAGGTATATTAACATAGCTGAGCTTCTCACTCTTATACAGAAAGATGGCCAGCGTGGGAGTACGGCCTCTTGATTCGCTACATTCGATTGTAAAAACAACTTCTGTTTGGACTTGAACATGCGTCTTGTTTGTTAATAGATGCAGCTTTACCTGTTAAATGGCTTATGCACAAAAAATACTTGGTTAGCCTTAAGGTCATGGTTTGGGTTTTAAGACGTACCTGTCCAGACAGGCCAATCTTATTACCAAGGTGCACACATTGTGTGACTTAAAAGTAGCCGTCCTCTATAAAGACACCAATACTGGCAGTTTCACACTGAAATTTATCAATTTTCTCATTTTCTGGATAAAACTCTTGGGTTTATGTTTCTCATCCACCCACTGAATAAGAGCACCTTCTATCCAAGGCCTGAAGTGGACTTTTTATGACTTCAACAGCAAACCAAAATTACCATCAAATGGAGTGGGACTAAGCTGTCAAAGCCTATAGGCCTTCCCCATTGGGGATCTATGGTGAAACCAATTACAGCTAGCTTAAAAGCTTTTAAGAAAAGTTTAAAACAACATTTAGGATATTTTTGTGTATTTAATGTGTTTGACTGCTAACTCAAGCCACAGCCTTTTTGTTATTAACTGTTAATATGTAAAAAAGTGAATTAATGATATGCTTGCTTTTGTATTTTTGTGATTTTTTTTCTACTGACTTTAGCTTTTTGTTCTTTGAGACCCCAGATTTTCATGTTGTGGAAACTGAATTAAAGTCAAATGGCAAATCAATAATGTTCTGATTGATTATTGTTGATGAAGACATGGTAGTCACACTAACCTGTTTGCTTGACTCAGTTACTCTGACCTATGACCACCTTCATGTTTACTTCTCTCTTAAGTTTTAGATAATCTGGTACGTCGTCGCCACGTTTAAGTCAGTACCTAAGATAAGATAAGATAAGATAAGAAGAACTTTATTTATCCTAAGGGGAAATTTGATAGCTTTCCCTGTTTGCTCCAAGCTAGTTTTTCTTAGATAATGCCTATAATATACGACCCATGGTGCCCTACATGATACTTACTTGTCAATCATTCAATCAATCTCAAGACATATTCAGGTCACAATAAATTATATCTCAAGATAAAAATGGTTGGTTCATATTCTCTTTGTATTGATCACTTAATCAACCATGAGTAGAGCACTCGGCAGTGTTAAGCTTGCCATAGTAGTGAGGAAATCTTCCTTTAACAGGCAGAAACCTCAAGCAGAACCAGACTAGAGTTTTTACTAGAGAGTAATGCTGCGTTCTAGTTACCTCAGAAGTCGGATGTTGGAGCTGGGATGACGTTACACTTGTAAACAAGTCGGAAAACCAAGATGGATGCCAACTGTTAGCTGTTGTCAGCTGTTGTTAGTTGTTGTTTGCTATACCAGTTGTATTTTACTCTTACAAACACCATAGCTCCGTGTTCACAGTTAGACGTTGTCAGTACAACATATACCACTAATTTGATTTCACAAAAACAAAACAGAAGTGCTACTAATTATACATTATTTCACTGTTACTCTTTACTGTTGATGCACTGTGCTGCCATCTTGGATTATGATGTTGTCGTCAAATCGGGGTTGGTGAGGATTGTCCAACTTTGCGAGTCAGAAAGCCGACTGCAGGGGGTTATTTCAGATGAATTCCCAACTCGTAGTTCGGAAATCCAGACTTCTGAGTACAACTGGAACACAGCATAAGCCACGGCAACCAAAAGTAACCCTAGATGCTGTGTACTTAATATAAACTGATTGGTGCAGAGCTTTTTTGTTTGTGTGAGGAAATCAGAATTATCATCTGGTATCTTTCTTTAGAAATCTGAACATAATAACATATGCCATCACATGAATGAGGGGAGTAGAGGGACTTATTTTCCCCATTTAAAGCACTGACATAAAGTTGCACGCTTTGGAAAATATGTTAAATTCATCTCAAGAAACAAAGGAGCAGATCAGCAGTTAGATGGGAGATGGCTTATCTGAAGCTAATAAGGCTACCGAGGGAAAGCCCTTGCTGAAATGAGCCCTGCTGCGCATGAGCAGGGAGAAAATTGCTTGCAGAGTTCACACCCTGGGTCACGTATAATTATGTGTGCTTTGTGGATCAGGGATGAGATGACACAAGCCGATAAGGAGGGAGGGGAATACCAATGGAATTTCTGGGGAGAACTTTCTCAATAATGCTGCACCATTGAATTTCATAAAACGCTCGACTGGTCTTGCTCTTAAATGTCTGCGATATGCCAATTCAAGATGAGTCCAGTTGTAGAAATACCACTACTGCAGTCTTCTTTATGATGGTTAGAAAGGGGATGGACCAGTGACTGGGTGGAGCAGATCTAGGGTTGATTTTTTAGATATAGTTGGGAAAGTCATGCTGAATAATGGAGAATTGGATGTTTAGTATAATTCAGTCATAATGTAAATGAACTGTGTGTATCACGTGTCAAACAGATAGATGGCCGATTGAAAAAGTTCAATTCAACCAACTTGTTTCTTGTAGCCTATAACAGTTTCATCATCTCTATTTCAAGCGCTTCAGAAAACACCATTTTAAATCATCAAGACCCCGACAAGATAGATGAGAGTGAATTAAATCAACTGCCAAAGACCGGTGACCTTCCTGCCCTACCAGCTATGTAACTGTGTGTATATCCTCATAGGAAAAAGAGCTTACAGTCACTATTATGAGTTGTCATTTCAGTAAGCCATAGTGTAAAATGCACCAGTGACCCTGGGTCGCTAAAGGTTCAAGATGGATAAGGCATGTGGATTACTACTTTAAAGACAGCTTGACTTTGTCTAAAAATAAGCATCGTGGTGGGGGTCAAGCATCACATGAATCAGTTATTGCACTCTCCTCCTAGCCCTCGACCCTTGAGCTGTTGAGGAGAACTTTGCCCGCAACCATGAAGAGACGACCGACCCGAATGAAGAGGCGTCAAATATAGCGGTACTATTTTAGTTATGCGTTTGTAATTATTCATTTTCCATGCGGGAGGAGTGTTTTAGTTTCTGCTGGAGTGGTAGGATCTGGATTAAGCATGGGTCAAAACCAGCAAGCGCAATCGCAGGATGAAGAGCTGGAGTTGATCAGCATCCAGGACCTGTACAAGTCATTCATCATGGAGTGTCCCAGCGGTTCTTTGTACCTGCATGAGTTCAAGAGGATGTTCGGGGTGCACAACGGTACACCTGAGTCAGAATACATGGACAACATCTTCAGAGCGTTCGATATGAACGATGTGAGTAAAATGCTTGTCTGTTTGCAATAAGAGCGACTATAGATCGTAGTGTATCCAATCAATGCTGGCATGTTTGGGTCTCAATGGTAACAAGCTCCTGTCTCACTGATTTCAGGATAACACCATGGATTTTATAGAATATGTGGCAGCACTTAATCTTGTCCTGCGTGGAAAACTTGAAGATAAGCTGCGGTGGTCTTTCAAGGTGTTTGACGGTGACGATAACGGTCGACTCGACAGGAGTGAACTACGGAAAATTGTTAAGGTAAAAAGTGATATTTTCACCTTACTTGGCTGTGTAGATTTTCTGCATTATATAGGAGACAATCTCCTCCTTTTCTGAAGAGAAGGTTTAATGTGTTGAGTCAAGAGATGATTTGATCTTTGTGAAGGTTCTCAATCATCCAGGTTGTGGTACTTCTGGGCTTTTTAAAGAACTTCAACAAAATCTAGTTGCTTTTGAAAATGGTTTAAGGTGGATTATATCGTATAGCTTCAGATAGGTAGTTTTATGTTGCGTATAGTACCAATTGTCATTAATTGTAAACTGTAGGCACATGTGAACGGTTGAACTGTTGGTTGGATGTCAAAGTATAGCAATAGTTACCTTAGAGGCTTGCATGTAAACAGTTTAAACTCCCATGCAAAAGTCTGCAGCTTTTTAAAATGGACTGATTTGGTTGATTTACACAACGTTAGGGGTTAGCTAACATGATAGCACCCCATGACTGATCCTTTCAGGACTATGAATACTTGGATCAATAATGACAATCACTCCAGTATTTGTTGATTCAAAGTGGACAAATGTTGGGAACAGACCAATTGATAATAAGGCCATCGGGGTGATGTTCTCGCCTCTTTATCATGGCTGAAAACCATGATATTCCACCAAAATACCATGAATCAAAATGAAAAAGGTTTTATTTTCTTCTTTGACTTTCAGATCATCTACAAGATAAAAAAGGGTAACGTACCGGATGAATCAGGAGCAGTGATCCTCACTTCTGAGCAAGTGTGCGAGCGCATCTTTCAGGAGGTGGACGTGAACAGCGACGGTATGTTGACCTCACACTGAAATCCTTCAAAAATGGGTTGCCCCTGATGTTAATCCGTGTATAACTCACCCAGAGTTGCTTTGTTTGTGCTGCAGGTCAGATTACGCTGGAGGAGTTTGTCGAGGGGGCACAGAGGAGTCAGTGGCTGCAGAGTTTCTTAAGACTCGATATCAATCCTAATGGATATATCCAGAAGTACATGTGTGACAGGAAACTCACAGAGCCCAGAGACACCTGAGGGGGGTCAATGTACTCAGCCAAGCATGCCAAAAGAAAAAGGAACCTGATTTTGAACTATGAGCCACTGGTGGGTGTGTGAGGAGACTGCCCTTATTGAGATGCAGCACTGTGCTGACTCTGCAGGTTCTCTTTGAATGCTTCAAATGGTCACACTGGGCCTGCTCACCGAGACCACATCAGGAATTCGATGCAGGTCCCAGATGTGTGATTTCAGCAGGAATAACACATCGCATTATGAGAGTGTAACTAATTCAGTGGCCTCTTTTTGCTTTGAAATGTTCTTCTTGTATGTTTTTTTAATATGTATATATCATTTAAAAAATATCCTTATCTTTTTCAAGATAAACAAACGAAACCAGCTATTGCAAGCAAACTATTTTCACAAAGCTGCAAAAATGGAACATCTGGATTACATAAAGACAGTCACTGCTGGTTCAGACGGTTGATTTTGCAAAGAAGCAGAGCACTTCCATGAAGTTGGTGAGCTTGGAGGTGAAGGGATTAAAATGGATTTTCAGATTCATAACACTGGTAAACACCTGTGTCTCTAAAGTCGTAAATTTAAATCCTTGGGGAAACATTAAATTGCTTAAATTATTCAAGTAAATTAGAAAGAAGCAGGTGGAAACTGATACTGATGGATAACTGTGACCTTTAAAAGCAAACGAGACCATCAGCAACAACATCCCCAGTTATGTTTCTTAAAACCACAGAAACCACCGTAAGGGGACAGGTGTCACATCAGATGATTGACACACACTCTTTTCACTTTTTCCATTGCAAACACACTCAGTGAGTGATACATCGCTCTGACAAGAGACAACAGGAAGAGGTTGAGGCTGAAAAGACCACTTTTACATGCACAGGGCAAGAGATTGGCCAACACTGGCACAAACCAAAAGCTCCTCGCTGCAGCTTTAAAACATATGCACAAACTCTTTATACATTAAGTTTCTTTTTGTTTCAGATAACGTTTAAACCATCCTGACATAACTTTGAATGAGATAAGATAACTTTTGCCTTTTTTCGCCGAGTGATGATTCAGTGGATGTTTTGTTGCTGGAGATGTTTGATGGCAGCTCTGATGTTCGCTGCATCATCGTCATATAAAATTATAGTTCATCTTTAGTTTTGCTTCTGATTTGGTGATTGCATTGATTTATGACATCCTGTGTGATATAATGTGTACAATGCCAATGATGAATGCTTCACAGCATTAAAAAATAAACACTTGAGTCCCTTGGCTTTCTTTATAGTTGTGCAAACTGAGACAAGCCGGCAAATTAGGACACATAATCAGCAGACTGAACATTATGAGGATAATGTGATATTTCAACAGACAGTGGGTGGACAACAATTTGTAAGGATACCAAATAATCATGCAAATAATTCAACTTTTATTAACACGAGTATAATTTTTTGTAAGCTACAAATGTCTTTAAAATATTTTCACAAGGGTTGTTTTGCAGCTGGTCAGGCAGGAGCAGCTTGTCACTTTCTGTGTGTCTGTGCTGCTCTGCTCAGGTGAGGAATAATCCCCTCTTTCAGCTCAAAAGAAAGATAATCCCAACACTGACAAGTATTTAAAATAGCAATTATAGCACACATGCTTAAAGTAGATTGTGTCCTATGAAAAAAACAAGTTTGACAAGGCCCACCCCTGAAGATATCTGTCCTTAAATGTTGGTGGCTATTTAAAATAATAATGTTAAAGATGAGGGAGAGGAGGAGGAGGGAGCGGAGAGGCTTGACCTGGGGGATGGTGAGCCGAGCTGACCACACAGAAACACACAACAAAGACGGACAGACAGGGAGGGGAACAGACAGACGTAAGGGAAATGAGGAACTGCAGGAAAACAAAGGGGAAACGATCCAGGCCATTTTACTCACTTTGCGAGCATTTGCGTCATTTTTCAAACTTTCAAAACCTGTAACTTCTCATACTTGGTCATCAATAGCTCTCCTTATGCTCCCTCCACCCCTCTGCTACAGTGCCATACTGCTCTTTTTTTCCAAGTCAACTCATCATATTACAAGCATACATAAATACAAGTTGACATGACCCTGTTTGGGAGCCCCATCCACCAACAGCAGCACAATAAGCGCACAAGTGACTATAGGGACCACAAGCATTTATTTCCACTAAAAGTACAGAGATTTTAGATGTCTTTGTTTTTTTTTTAGACCTTATTTTAACTGTCTAGATTTTTAGATTCATTTTTAGATTCTAGATTTAGATTTAGTCTAAACTTGCTCTAAAAAACTTTCTTTTTATACCTGTGGTAGCCTGATTTCAGACCAGTTGTCTAGGCTACATTTAGATGTCTATTAGACCTCCTTTAGACCAAAAAAATGCTCAGTGGGATTGGTAGATTTTTGCAACATACTGTCTGCTTGTGTGAAGAAATGTCTGAGCAAAATTCTGCAGAATATTCTGAATCAGTCCTTCTCAACCAACTATCAGCTTTAAATTAAGTTCTAAGTTTAAAAAAGGAGCTTAAAATGAGGTTTTAGTCCAGAAAAAAAGCAGCTTAAAATGCTACAAGAACAGCAGTTTCAACCTTTGTTCAGTATGTGTTCAATATCTTCAGGTTTATGTCTTTTTTCTGTTGTAAAACTAACTCAGATGAGGATCAAGTAGCTGCTCGTATTCCTGCTGAAGTTTTTCCTCGTGTTCATGAACTGCAAATGCCCGTACAGATGACATACAGTATGTGATATCACATACTTTCATTGTTAAGCTTGTCAATCCTACTTCCAATTCAGGAAGTAATCTCAGGTTCTGCATTTGACTTCCTCACTTCTGCGTCACTGGTGGTTAAAGTGATAAGTCAACCTCCAGGCAAAAATCTCTCTTCAACACACACTTCCTGACACAAATCATTCAACAAGAAATCTGCTCAGAGGGAAATGAGAAAATGCTTCCTCTAGATGGTAAGAAACTTTATTCTACACCTGCTGCAGGAGTGTGACGATAGTTCGTTGTTTTTTCTGTTTGGGTTGTGAGAATTTAAGATTTCCTTCATGAGGCACGTTGAGCAATACTATTGTACATGCCCAGGAAACGTCCGTGAGCAGGGGTACTGGCCCTAACCGGTACTTTTCCCCGGTGGACCGGTCACGGGATGAATTTGATCCGTATAACTTTGTTTTGCCATGCCACGTCTTGTCTTTGTAACTACTGTAACTCTCCCGGCCCGGGGAGAGAGACATGCATCTGCTCGGCCCACAGTGCTGAGCTGCAGACACAGCAGAGAGGTGACGATTGGCCCCGTGCTTGTCTGTCTAAGAATACCTGGCTCAATGGCCCTATAAGAGGCTACAGAGGCCCAGGAGTCCCACCCATGCATGTTAATGTTCAGCAACGACAACACACCAGCACACAGGAGAGTAGGAAAAGTAAATAACGCAAAGACGATGCGTAAAAATGAGGAAAAGGAAAAGCTCCCGCAGCACATGTTGATAAAATTCAAACAATTACGTGAGTCTGAAGAAAGTTCGGCTCCTGTTACCACTGCTGCCCTTATGGTAACTGAGGAAGACTCTCCACCCTATGAAGGAGGTAGTGATACCGTGGTAAGCAGGTATGTGCCTTCCAGAATGGCGTGGATAAACAGTCATTATTCATTTCAGTGGTTCAGAACTAGAGTTGCACCGATCCTTTTTTCCCGATCCAATCCGATGCCGATACCTGGGCTGAGCGTATTGGCCGATATCCTATACTGATCCAATACTACCGTTAAATGAATGAACTGTATACCTTGCCCTGTGAGTGAAGGCATCAGGCTTGACATTAGCCTTGTTGAAAAAGAGGTAACAAATTGACAGATGTATAAATTTACTTCATAATATTTAACAAATTGCACATTAGCACACAGCAAAAAGAAGTAAGACTTCCACACAAACATTTAGTGCAAAAGGACAGACAGACATAGAATGTAGAGCAAACAATATCACTGTGTTGCTGTGTATGTTATTAATAAAAAAAAAAAAACTGGATTGGAATGCTGGATTGGCGTCATTCATCAGATATCCGATACAGTTACTTTATCAATATTGGAACTGATATCCAATCCAAATATCGGCTTGGTGCATCCCTATTCAGAACGGTTGCTTAACTGTCCATGAACTTTACTTCTCATAATAAAGAGAAATGAATGGTTGAGATTTTGCGCGTGGAGACATAGACTACTATGTAATGCTATCGTGCTGTCGTTGCTGAAGTTGGGATAACTAGAGAAGAAGTGGTCGGCAACATTCATTTCTCAAGAGGGTGTCTAACTCAGTGTTACAATGTGTTTGACCATAACTTAATTTTACACCAGAATATCCCTTTAAGTGTTTCAACCTGCTTATTGAAAGTGCCGCAGTGTTCATAACATTCTGTAAACCTGTTTCCCGTATAGCAAGCAGTTGGGAGGTACATGACGTATCTGGACAGAAACGAAAGGCCCTTCCTCAGGATGTTCCGTTGCACACTAGAAGTTTGGATTTGCAGAGAAACAAACTGAAACGGGTCACCGGCATCTCCAGATTTATCTTCCTCACTGAGATCAATCTTTCAAGGAACAAGATAGTGGAGTTTCCTCATGAAATGCACAACCTTCAGAAACTAGAGGGGCTCTACCTCAACCAGAACAACATCAAATCCATTCCAGAGGAAATCTTTCCACATCTTAGGAGGTTAAAGTTCCTCAAACTCAGCAGCAATCGCCTAACCAAGCTTCCCTCAGACATAAACCAGAGCACCAGTATTATTTACCTGGACCTTTCCAAGAATTGCCTGCAAGACATCCAACCATTGGTGGGCCTCCCAAAGTTGAAGGAGCTTTTGGTTGAAAAGAATCAGCTGACCGAGCTCCCGTCTCAGCTTTTTCAGAATGGTACCTGTGAGCTGTCTGTGTGTAAAGCTATGGGGAACCCTCTGAGGTGCCCACCAGAGGAGGTCTGTGCTGGAGGGATCATGGACATCAAGAGCTATTTCCAACAAATGGAGGAAAACCCAAGCACACGAAGCGCCTTGACAGTAAAGACCATGTTCTTGGGCTGCTCCATGGCAGGGAAGTCAACCTTGTGCCGCAGCCTAAAAAACGGCAAGCCTGTTGCTGTGGCGGTGGAGGACCGGACTGAGGGGATAGAGATCAGCCAACTCTATGCACAGGGGGTCCGTTTCCTCTTCTGGGACTTTGCAGGGCAGGAGGAGTACTACCTGACACACCATGTCTTCATAACTCCACGAGCCCTTGTCATCCTCACTGTTGATTTAGCCAGGTAAGCAGGTCTGATGACCGGAAAAGTCCCTGAACATGCCTTCTGTGCAGGAGACCTTAAAATAGTTTCAATCATCACCACATAATTTTATTTGTTTCAACAGCTACAGCACTGTAGACCCACAATCTTTCAAAGACAAGATTTGGTTCTGGATTAACAACATACAGCTGCGTGTCCCAGACTCTGTGGTCCTGTTGGTGGGGACACACTGTGACCAGTGCAAAGACCAGAAGGAGGTGATGGAGAAGAAGGACGACATCGAGGAGAAGGTCAAGACCATGTTGGCAAACAGGAGGGCAGTTCTACAACAACAGAAGAGAAATCTAGAAGAAGACTTGAATCCCTCTCTCTTCGCGGACCAGCTGGATGAGCTAGATTGCCTTTTGGAATACAATCTGAAGGTATTTGATTATTTTTAGATTTTTCATATTAAATAAAAGCTTTTCATATTTGACTCCAGTATGTTTCATTAGTTTGCATACACATAGGTATTTGATTTCATAGGTTCCTCCTGCAAATAAGCAACTGTATCGTGCCACTGTCTTTCTTGGTTGGTCTTTTACAGCTGCTCTTTGCCTTATTTTAGGTTTTGGATCTCTTACCCATCAACTGCACAAAAATAGAGGATGTCGTGAAGCTGAGAAGTCACATCATGACAAGCATTCAGTCAGAGAGTGTGTTTCTGTATTCTGGGAGCATCTTACCAAAAAGCTACGAATTAGTGGAGCAGGCCATCCATGCTCTGCATTCGCTGAAAGAAATCCCGCAACATGGTAAGCTAGTTTTTCGACTCAGAGGATCCTCAAACTGTATTGCAAAGTAAATTGAATCTTAAGTTATTGTTTTTTAAATTGTTTTCCACTTTAGGTATTATACAAGTTGAAGAGCTGGGTGATCTAATTTTGCGCTATGTCCAACTGAGCAGAGAGAGTCTCCACTCCATCCTCCGATTTCTCCTGCGGTATCTGCATCGGATTGGAGTGATTGTTTGGTACGAAGAGATCAGCGCGCTCAGTGACAGAGTGTTTATCCAGCCTTCATTTCTCATCACTATGTTCAAGGTCAGTGTTTTTTATTGTCCCACAGAGTACATGCACCGGTCTAAAAACAGATTTCTGAAACTTATAAGAAAGGAGAACTTGTTTGGAATCACGGTACATCATAGAAGCTAGCAAATATCTGTCTGCAGCCCTCCACAAGACCAAGAAGCAATGACAGGTACTGCCGTGATAGTCATCATAGCAGATAAACACATTTTTGAAAAGTTTATGAATCATTGCACTAAATACCCTCTACTCTCTTTGCACCTGTAGACCATTGTAAGATATGACCTGGTGAAGCAACTGGAAGGGGTCTCCAAAGATCTTCTCATGCAGGAGGGGGCTCTAGTCAAACAGAAGTTCACCTGGGTGGATGATCTGAGGTGCAGAGGAACTTTGCACAATGCAGCTTTGCGGATCTTGGTCCGCAGAGGGATCGAGGAACTGATCAAGAATGAGGATGACCTGGTTGTGGAGGTGGTGGGAACCAAAAGAGAGGAAGGCATTATTCTGACACTCCTGCAACATTTTGAGGTCTGCCTCCCCACTGTTGTCGGAGGGACCCTGAACCCACAAGCGCCAGAGTTCATTCCTGGTGACAAACAGTGGAAGTCAGCGAGGGAGGCGAAAAGAGATCCAGACGGAGCCTGTCTCTTTCCCATCTACCTCAAGGATGACTCCATAGTGTGCCAAAAGTGGGGAGAGGACCGTCAAGACGACCTCAGTGTTCATGTGTACTTCCTCCCCGAGATTCCCCATGGCTTCTTCCACAGGTAAAATAATTTGTGGCATGCTCCATCTCTCTTGATGGATTCAGAAAGATAATAAGATAGACGCTTTTTAAAAAAAATCCCCAGTCAAAAGTCTTTTTCTTGTGCCTCCATTATTAAGTATTTAGCAGATATTGTGGCCTCGTCTCTCCACTCACAGGCAGTGGATTACACACCAGTTGTGTGGCCGTCTATCACTTAGAAGACTTAGATAGTCCCCTAACCCTAACCCTCATTTGTCACCAACTAACCTCTAGTCTGTCTCTGTTGTATTTAACCATCAGGGTGATCGTCAAGACCTGTTCCTTGTACCCGACTCACTGGGTGGGGAGAGAGCAGTGTCTCCTCTGCTGCGGAAACCGACTGTGTCTGGTGAGACAGAACGATAAAGACGAAGACCCGTTCATAGAGATACGCAGCAGGAGGCCAGAGCAGGACGAGGGTAAGAGCTTGTGATCACTCTGTACCTGAGATGTGCACAAACTTAGACTTGACAATGACAAACATCTGTTTACCTCCTCAGGGTTCAGGTCTTTGTGGGATCTGATCTTAGCGGTGATGTCCAAGCTGTTTGTGCTGTCCAGACAGTGGCCGGGCCTGACCCAGCAGGTTCACACACCCTGTCCAGAGAAAGGCTGTCCACACTACTTCACCTGGAGGGACTGGCAGGAGCTCAACAACACTGACTTCTACAACCTGTAAGTGTTTTGTGTGGTCTCATTAGTGTGCTGAACAGTAGATTAGAGGAAGAAGGGCTGTGGCTTTGCAGAAAGTTTCAAAGGGTTAAAGTCATGTTGTCATTATTACCTTAACCTATAACAGATTCATACACCGAGTGCTGTCATTATCACATATCTGCGTGTACCTGTGATGGGTCGTTATTAAAGGTGTTTTTAAGGGCTGTTGCAAAATTGTGTCATCTCCAGTCACTGTCACTGATATGATACTAAAAATAAGCATATAGTGATAGCGTGAGTTTATAGTCGTGGTCCTTGCCTCACATCATAAAACATAGGAGAGATGAAGAAGTAACAGCTACCAGCGAGCTACCTATAGCAGCCTTCTGAGAGATGACTCTGCGCTTCAAAAAACAGATTTTTAAGATCAATAGTGAAACCAAAAACAATGTTAAAGCTAGTTTTTTTTTTGGATAAAACAATTGATAATTTGTATTTTCTAGCTGCTTTTTGAACAAAAAATAGCATACACTTCAAAATAAAAGCAGAATTTGACCAGGTAGGAAGTAAAGCACATATGTCAGAGTCAAGGCCCGCGGGCCACATCCGGCCCGCGAGAAGGTTTTTTACGGCCCCTGGGATGATCTTGATTTATTATTAGAACCAGCCCGCAGATCTTTTACACGCACCAATACTACATTTCCCACAATGCAACGGTGACGCACCGAGCAGTAGGCTGCTTCATTTCAATATTTATTAGCACAGCAGTCGTCAGCATAACAGTAAAATTAACTTTCAGATACCCATCAAAAATGGCAAAACGGAAGGTGGACACTGAGAACCGGGGGTTTCAAACAAGGTGGGACTCTGAGTATATGTTCACGGAGGTAGCTGGAAAACCTGTGTGTCTTCTGTGTGGAGAAAGTGTGGCGGTACTGAAAGAGTATAATCTGAGACGACATTATGAAACGAAACACGCGGACAAAAACAAAATTATATTTTAAAAATATTTCAGTTGAGTGGATGATAGAAAATTGCTATTATTATTTTTTTCTTTGAAGTAAATTTAGCCCACTTTTGCTAAAATAGAAAATATAGGCTACTGATGGTGCCTTGAATAATACCGGTTTCTTTCATTTAATGTTCATGTTATGGGGATTTTTAAATAAAGGAAATTTGTCTTGTGTGTCTGTTGAAAATTAAAGATTACTGACAGAGCCAGAAGAAAATATTGCTTTATTTATCTGATCATATTGGAATATATTTGTTAGGTTTTCAGTAGGTTCAATTAGGTTCACTAGACTATATGCGTCATTTAAAAAATTTTCAATGAACATTCCATCAGTCCGGCCCTCGGCTTGTGGCTAAATTTTTTATTTGGCCCTCCGTCCATTTTACTTTGACACCCCTGAAGTAAAGTTACCTAAATTCATGAGAGAGAAAATATCAAAATAAAAGCATGACAGTTGTTCACGAAGTCATATCTTCAAAATAGTTTCTATCACCGAGCAGGTAATGCAGATAAATCATAAATTTAAGAGTTATTATAAATAGGTGATGATTTGTAAGATAACTGTGTGTATTCCTTAATTTTTCTTTCAAGTTTTCCTTAAATATTAGGATCATATCGTTACTATCACAATATTTTATGGCCTTGATTATCCCATAGTGAAAATCTGATATCCTGACCTGTGTTGATTGCTTTAAAATCTGTCACTTTGTGCAATGTTTTACCTAATGTTATGCCCCCCCTGTGTTTATATGGCATATCTTTGCACAAACTCAAACATAAGCCACAAAGTCTTATCTTTATCTTTGCCTTCTCAACCTGCCATGTTTCTACGATAGCACAGAAAGGACAAACTAGTAATATATGCATTTTTTTGTATTAGCAGAGACTGTTTTGCACAAAAGAATTCATGATTATATTTTTTTGAAGGTATAACTTGACAGAGGATCACACTTATCATATGTCGCAGTAGCTTCTTGTCCTCAAAGGCCACCGTCGCTTCAGAGTTAGAGTGGTGAGCAAGGGAGGGTTTCGGCGAAGACTCTGAACTCTAGATATAACACAATTTTCCCATTTCTACCTTTAACAGTAAGGAGGCATTTGTGACTACAACTTACTTTTGTTTCCATCTAAGACAACTTAATCATCTACAGTCTCTTTTTGTCTTTTTTAGGGTGAAAGAGGAGAAACTGGTTTGCAAAGGAGGACACACACGAAGGACAGAGCTGATTTTTCCCAAGGATAAATAAATGACTTGACAATAAAAGGTTTTAATTTCAAAAACACAAGAACTTGTGTTAAGGTAACAAATCCTTAAGTATCCCTCAGCTCCAACATCCTTCATACTTCCTATTTCTCTTCAACTTTTATTAGCCTACGACAGGACAGAGTGACTGAAAATGTGATCTCTAACATGAAACAGAAAGGATCTCTGAATTTACCTGGAAAAACTTACCTGACTGACCTGAAGAGGGCAATGAAAGCGTAAGACGGTGCTACATTTGAAGCTGGAGCGCTTCTGTGGTGGATGTGCTGGGAAATAAGGGAAAAGGAAGATTAAAAATGCATAGAGATGTGAAATACAATAAAAATGCAACTTTTTTGTTTTATTTAAGACTGGGTAAAGTGACGGAGTGAAAATAGGAAAAACTAATCTAAATGTGACCACTTCCTACAGATGGACCGTAAACAGGGCTGTTTTCCTGTGTGTAATATCGCCCTCTGCTGTTTTTTTGCCTGACATTACAACTCAATTATCATTCATGAACTCAAAATAAACAGTCTCTGAGGAGGATGATTCATTTTCTAATTTAGCTGCTTCGTTTTCAAGTGTATAGAAGTTTTTCCTCCTGGTTTGTCAAATCATTATAGACTTTTAGCAGAAATTGCACCTGCTACATGCAGATCAGCCATCTCGATAAAATATTAAGGGTCATTGAGCTAGATTGGTAAATATGTTAAATCAAACCATTCACTTGTTAAAATATGACGCTGAAATCTGTTTTTAACCCTGCCAGTGCTTTTCCCCATTTATGTATTTTCCAGCTGAATTTTTCATCGCAGCCCTCTGCTCTCAGGGGAGTTCCTGCTGCCTTCACGGACTCCTTGTAAATCATATCATTTGACGTTTTTCAAGCAGTTTAAAGAGGAAAGAACAAAACCATAGGCCTTAAGCCCTTTACGCTTCAAGATATATTATTATTATTATCAAAATAAACACATACAAACCTAAATGTCCTAAAAATAATTATCTTTAAGGTTCAGTGACACATCTGTGAAAGCTGTTTGTGTTTTATTGATACCACTTTGAGTCTTATTGTGAGAGCAGAGGCCGATAAAAGTCGTGGACCCAAAATATTTTAACACATCAGAGTACCAGGGATGATCATTTTAGACTGATTATACAGTATATTGCACATCTAAGGACACATTGGTTCTTTGCATAGGCTGTCAGATCATCAATTGAGACAATACTTAAAGGGATATTCCGGCGTAAAATTAATTTAGGGTCAAACACACCATAACACTGAGTTAGACAACCCCTTGACGGATGAATGTTGCCGAACGCTTGCCTCTCTAGTTATACTAACTTTAGTAATGACCGCAGGATAGCAATACACAGTAGTCTGAGGAGCCATACACAAACCTCAGGCAAAACACCACTCTATAGCCACAAATAATGCTCAGAACAGCACCTAACCTCATCAACAGTACATATAGGGTCCCAGCCACAGTACTAGCCATCAATCATCTTTTTCACTTTGACTAATTTCTTTAACAAACAGACTAAATACAACTCACCTACTCTCCTCCAGCAGACACTTGTTTGTAGTAAGACCTCAGGCCAGTCCATGGCGGACTACAGCGGGGTGACGCAGCTCAAGGAAGAACATTTATGATCATTTCTGCATGGAAATGCAATCAGTCCGAGACGCTAAGGCAGAAAACATACAGTGTCTGCAGTGAACATACAAGATGCACAAGACCTCTGATTGCATTTCCATGAAGTAATAATCATAAATGTTCTTCCTTGAGCTGCGAAACTCCGCTCAAGCGGCTGCTAGAGGAGAGTGGTTGAGTTGTGTTTTGTCTCTTTGTGTAAGAAATTAGGCAAAGCTAAAGCAAGCGGTCTGCAACATTCATCTCTCGAGGGGGTGTCTCACTCGGTTTTTTTCGCTGTGTTTGACCCTAACTTAATTCTACGCCAGTACATCCCTTGAAGTAAAATTATTGTTTGCATTTAATATGCCCTAATTGGTGTCTGCATTTCATGGTTCTGATTGAAGTAGGCTACACAACAATGGTGCAAGAAAAATATCAAGTGTCCACCTATTTTAGTAAATACATATCTGCTACACAAGATGAATGGTCAGTTTTCCCACAGTCTTTGAAGGCAGCACCCTATCGCAGCATCGGCGGACTTCTTCAGGTGTCTCTTCTGGGCGGCCGCGCGGCGGAGCCAATGGAGGAGTGTTAACTAGGCGGCATGGCGGACCGAGAGAAGAGGAAAAGCAGCCCCCCGCCTGGGCGAAACATCCAGGTGAAGTCCCCCGCCAGCTTCAGGTAAGAGCCCGGGCTTGAGGGAGCATGTGGAGGGAGGGGGAGTTCGAGCTGCCGACCCCCCGGAGGCTCTGACTGAGTGGTGAGGCAGCGCGGCTCTGCGGGGCTGGAGGCGCTGATGCTGGGCTGCCCGGAGCCGCCGCAGCTGCGTTTGGCTCGGCTCTGCTTTGCGGGCTCAAGTCGCAGTGTGTTGTTGAGTGGCATGTTTTGTGTTTGGGCGTGTCTGCTCCCAGGGGGCTGAGGAGAGCTGTGTGTTCCCCCGTATCCACTAAAGCCATGCATTTTTAATGTGGCACACTTTTTGGTAACCTGGTTTAACCGAAACCGTCTCGTACAACAGCTGCTTTACGAGTTGCAGCCACAGTTAATGAGTTGATGCTGGCATACAGCCGGTTATGTGGTGGCCTTTTATTTCTGTCCAGTTACTTGTAGTCTCTTGAAGGTTATTTTTTTCACTCCTTTTACCTCAAAATCTATCTCGAAAATGCAGTTTAATTGTCATTGTACTTCAGCAGGGGATCTAATCTGTTTATGGCACATTAACTCTTTTTATTAGCTTTAGCTAGGGCTGGGCAATATGGAAAAAAGTTTATCACAATATGTTTTTTTCATATCGGTCGATATCGATATGTATCATGATCTAAAAATGAAATTTAAGAGTTCTTATAGGTTGCATGTCTTTTGGAATACAATGAGCTACTGCATCAGTGACGTCTTCACCGACGTTTTCGTGCCAGTGTTGTTGATGATGTCGTCATCTGTTGAGCCTTCATCAGCATTTCTGCCGGGGGTAGCGCTCATTTTCTTTTTTTCTCACCAACAGTGTTGCCGGCTTCATGTGTTATAGTGCTATGGTTGCGTGTAGCTGCAGCCTTTGTTGGCTACTTGGTTCTAATTCAGCACGTTTGGTTCAGCTAAGCGCGGACCCGGAGCAACCCCCCTTTTCATTGGCTATTTGTATAGCCTACCAAGACATGGCAGAATGCCGACTATTGAAAAGTATATTGACCATGTTTCATATTCATATATCGTTATCGTTTTGTCGCCCAGCCCTAGCTGCAGCTTAACATTGAGTTAATACTCTATTTGTATTGGCCATCAATATGAACTATACTGTCTTGTGTGCTAAGTTCAAATGGTTAACAGCAACATTTGATCATAATACTAAGAATAAAAGTTAATTTTTTAGCACCTTTCAAGAACTGAGGTCACAGGGGACTTTACAAAGAAGATTCAGCAAATAATATTTATAAAAAAAACTACAAAAATAACAATCATAGCAGAGAGAAGTGAGGAGCATTACATCATAGATTCTCAGGCATGTCTTCATAAATGGGTTTGAAGTGTCAACTCTGCCCGCTGTGTCAGAGAGTTTCAAAGTGGAGCTACAACTGCACCCTGTAAGTCTTCAGCCTGGAGCGTGGAAACACCCATGAACCCTGATCAGAAGACCTCGGGGTCCTGCTGGGATCGTGAGGCCATGATCGGTCTTTGATGTTAGACAGCTGCCTGCTCATGCAGGGCTTTGAAAGTGATAATGGGAATCCTGAACCGGATTTTGAAGTTTATGGGAAGTGGTGTTATAAGTTTGGATGAGTGTTTTGTCCTGAATCGTAACTGAGTGAGGGATCATGTTTGATAGACTTTTACCTTTAAATACCTTTAAATTTGAAGACAACAAACAAAACTGGACCGAGGACAGAGCCTTGAGGAACTCCACACGTCAAGGATGATAGTCCACTCCTAAACAAGAATGTTGTGCCAACTTTGAAAGCCATCTAAAGAATTGCATCTATTATTGAGAGCTTAATGGGCATTTAACTGTGAACCGTTAATTAGTAATGAGCTCCATATAGCAGTAATTGAAAGGACGGTTAATAAGGAAAGTGTTTCGGAGCAACAGATTACCCAAAGACTGTCAGAGTTAATCAACCTGCTGCACAGCTCAACATGCAAAGGTAATACTGAGCAGTGTGAGGGATTAACTGCATGCTGCACACATGCTCTCATGCTCATGTTACACACACATTCGTACAACCCAGAGAGCCTAACTGTCGCATGTGGAGAAGCTGTGATTTTTCACTGGCTTTACTGGGTGGATGGAGGCTTGTAATCAATATTCCCCTGTGAGACAGCGACACAAACACAAACGCACAAATGTGCACAAACAGACACACCCACTCTCAGGCTCAGTGTGTCGGTGTCTCATTAGCTGAGCCACAAACAGGCAGATCCACGAGCGTCTTCCCTTTGGATTTTTCATCGCAGTGGCTTCAAAGCGGATTCCGCTGTGTTTGATTTTTCCGTCAAATAAAAACTGAAGAATAACAAACAGGAGCCTTAGAGTTACATGCTCTAAAATCAAGGGGAAGACAAGCATGTGGATTGAGTAAAAATAAGTATATGATCAATAAAAACATGAATCAAGAAACATTTAAAAGAAGGCATTTTGTCTCTCTTTGGTAGATTTGATTGATAATTCAGAGCTGTATCTGAATGGAGAAAGGAGGCTAGATAATCCACAGTCCAAGTGTTGGCCCAGTCCCAGAGCGGCCATATGTTGGCATGTTTGCCTCCGTCACCCCTCTGCCACCACTCACTGTGGTCCAATCCTCCATCTTTTCCTGTGAGAGAACAGACTGTCAGTATGCTGCCGTCTGTGTGAAGATATTTACTGACCGAGATACAGGAGGAATTTAAGGCTCTGATCCCATTTCATGATTTTAATGATTTGTCATATTGAATATTTGAGGGTGAGAGTTTTCTGTGTTCAGTGGAAGAGGAAGGTTTCTTTAGGCTGAGAGAGACTACGAGTAGAAACATGAACAAAGAAATCACAGCAGAATTGAGGGATGATTTTTTTTCAAACAGTCCAGTTTTAGTCCAACAATGACAATCGATTTGTTAGTGCAGGTTAACATGGCCCATGACACTATTAAGGTACAGTGATACGTACAGTGACCCTGAGGTACAGAAAACAATGGCAAATAAGAAAACACAACACAAAAAGTGAAACACAATGGCAAATCACAAAACAAAACGACATTAACCATTGTGTTTTCTGTTTTTGTGTTGTGTTTTCTCTTTTTGTGCCGTGTTTTCTGATTTGCTGTTGCGTTTTCTTTTTTTATGTCGTGTTTTCTGATTTGCCGTTGTGTTCCTTTTTTTTTGTTGTTTTCTAATTTGCTGTTGTGTTTTGCACCTCAGGGTCACCTTAGCTACGAGATACTGCCAAGTGCCAAACAATAATGTAATAATGCATTATGAATTCTGATTAAATGTGGGACACAAATATCCTCTTGATATTTTTTGCAGTGACTGTTCTTTTAATTTTACTGTGCAGCACTTGAGTAAACTTGAATATGTTTTTTAAAATGTGCTAAATAAATAAAGCGGATTAGATTGGACGTCTAAAAAGTTAAAATTGAGTATTGATGCATATATTTATTTATTACACTTGAGCTTTCCTTGGATGAAGCTGAGTGTTTTTGTGTGTTAGGTGGAGGTTTGTTAAGAGGGGAATTATGAGCTAAAACTGCTCTCAGATCTGCAGAAATGATAACTCAAATATATGCTTTTTATTTCTAACTATATGATGAAGAAACCAAACTCTACAGTCATAATCATTGAAGTTATTATCAAAATTAGGATGGGATGCAGCTTCAGAAACTTTAAATGGACCATCCTTTTGTTATCTTTGACACTTACTGTTGTCTGTATCAGCTGATTCATCAAAGTATTTAGATCCCCATTTTTATTTGTCCTACATGACTGCATTTCTTCTCAGATGCACAAGGGGGCACTGCAGGAGGTTCCACCACAGTAGCATAGTATTTATATCCTTGTGTGTGTGTGTGTGTGCGCGCTGCAGCATACTCATTTTAAAGCAACAACCCAGTTTAGGATTGCAGACCGGTCTGTGATGCATTATGGGGAAAATGGAGAACTCATGATGGCAGTAACATAAAACCAGAGATTGATCCACCTTTAGGCAGAAGCAAACCCTCTCAGAATCTATTCTACACAGTTCAATATCTATCTGATTTGGAGTGACGATTATAGAAAAAACACGTCAGCCTTAAACAGATTTGAGTTCTCACCGATGAATGATGGCTGGATAATTCATGGGAACATTGTTTTTGTGTATGTTTGTGTACGCTGTGAAGTTCTTTTCCCCCTTTTTTTCTGACTTACCAGCACTTATGTTTTGGGTTTTATTGCCGTATTGATTGTCCAGTATCAAGTTGCTACGTAATTTATCAAACTGATTATGATATTGGTTTCTCACAGGTTATTTCTGTGGTATGATGTTGCCTTTGTAGATGTCGTGGGTCCAAATACTTTTGAATGACAGTTGCAGTTTTAAGCAACTCTTACTCAGTGATAAACAAACATAAGCTTAAAGCATCCAAAGAGCAACTGTTTGAGACGGATATGCAAACCCAGCAGTGTTTTTACCCTTTTGTCATCAGATTAAACAACATGTGCTCTCTGACCTCCACTTTGGTCAACAGTAGGGATGGGCGATATGGGATAAAAGATTTATCACGATAAGATTGGCAATAAAAGTCCAGATAAAAAACATTAAAATTCCAGTCTATATTTTCAACTCATTTTAACTCGAGAAAACCAGTTGGAGTAGTCAAATAAGATACTTAACCACAAGTTTGAGTGGTAGGTTATGGAGAAAACTAATGACATCAAACAAGTCTCAAAAGTGCAAACATTTTTAACATTTGTTGAAAACTCTTATTGCACAGAGTGAACAGCAGCAGATCCACTGTCCGATGTCAGGCATACCAGATTGCACTCATCAAAACCCCAGTCTTGAAAGAAATCCCTCATGTGGAGTTTCGTTCAGTAACAAGCTGCTCAGAAACATCTTCTTTATTACCTTCAGCCATGTTTGTTTGTTATTCTGCTCTGTGTGGGCTATGGATGCGAGTCCGTTGCTCGCGCTTCCGTCATCAACTTGCATTTATTGTATTTATCATGAGATGGCAAATATTTATCATGGAGGATTTTTCTGACGATATGTTTGTAACGATAATTTATCGCCCATCCCAAGTCAACGGCACCTCAGTTTGCTGATCAGAAACTTTACTTTCTCTGATCTTTCTCTTTTCTTTGTCTGCATTTTCATTCAAAAGTTGGGAATGAGTTTATACCTTCTCCCACAGTTTCAAAAAACTCTGATTTATTAGGTGGCACGCTCACTGCTAACATAACACTTGAAAAGCTCAAACCACCTTTGTATACTCCCAGGTGGATTATGTATTATAAAAAGAAGGATGCATGAAAGTGTGTGTATGCGCACGGTTTTGTAAATCTGTGTTTTAGCAGTTGTGCACTTTGAATATGAGACCTCACATCTGCAGCCTTGCCATAATGCTTTGATGTTCTGGTATCCGGATGTAAACAAGCACAGATGATAAAATGCATCTGGAAGATGAAAAAAGGTTCTGTTTAACTTTACTTGAGCCAGGGCTGGGCAATAAACCGAATATTTACCAATACCGAAATCTATGACAATAACGAACGTCATTTTGCTCATATCAATATATTCGTGTCAAAAAAATAAAGCAATAAAAGTTGTTTTTGGGTGTGTGTAGGTAGGCTATGGTCTCATTTCCCATTAAGACAGTGTCCTACGTCAGAGGTGTGACTACGCCCCACCCATTCTGTAACAAAGAGGGAAAGACAGGTGAGGAGATGGAGGACGGTTCAAAAGTTGTAGCAGCTGGAGTGGCGGCTGAAGTAGACTAAGTAAATGTGGGAGGGGGTGAGCCACTCGTGAAGTAGTTATATTCCATTTAATGTTCTCGAGGTGAACCGCTCAATTTATCGTGCTATTGATTTGAGGCCGTATCACTCGAGCAATGTGTACCCAGCACAGGTGTGTTAACCTGCAGTGAGGCCTGGAAGCAGGTGGTGCTAGCTCTGCTAATGTTAGCTACACTCAGCGAACCAGCAGACTATATGTTCCCATGTTTTACCACCGATAAATAAAATCTGCGTATTTTTCAGTTTTTTGTTTTTAGTAGATATTGAATTTCCATTTAGACAACCTGTTGATTTCCAGCATCCTTTTTATAACATTTACCAGCACACGATCACAATAAAGGAAAAAATTAGAAATGTATGACTGTTATTTCTTGGATACAGGGTTGCATTATTCTCTGTGATCTAAATGAAGTCAGGTTACTTGTTGTGGTGCATCAAAAGCTGAGTATATTAGCTCTTCTTTACCTTGAATCCTTTTTAAATGGCCTCCTGGCAGAGACTGATGACCAGCTTTTAAATTACCCCGCTCTCCTGCAGCTTTAGGATCAGACTTGATTGTGTACATACTCTGCATGCAGCTCTACATTCAGAAAATAGACAGCCTTTTCAGGATATTTTGCAGCTCACTGAATAATCTAAATGAAAGCTCAGAAAAGTCCATGATGTCTCCTCCTCTCTCTCTCTCTCTCTCTCTCTTTCACTAATTCATCAGCCTATCCCCTCGTCTTCCCTCTTTCATCTTTTCTCTGCAGCTTTCCCACTCTGATGTGACTCTGCTGACAAGATCTGCTCAGGCAGATGGATTCACGAGGTGCAGGATGAGAGAGGGGAAAGAGGGAGGTTAAGCAGATTTTGAAGTGTCAGTTTCTCTGATTCACTGCGTCTGTCTTTCGTTTACTTTGATGTTTTCTTTGAGGAGGGAAGCGTGGTTGTAGGGTTTTCCGACAGGGCCGGGTTTGATCGCTGTCTGCCGTGTTTTAACCTCAAAGCGAAACAAAGAGGGAATCTTAAACAGAGCTGATTTGGATTTCACCCTGACATGGTGGACAGTTAGTGCTCTGGCTGCAGTCTCTCCCCTCCACCACGCTGATTATTTACTGTCCATCAGTTCTGCTGACACAGCACGTTCCATCTAACGGCACCTCCCCTCTGCTTATACAGAACCCCCCTCTCTCTGTCTCATCCCTCCATCTCTCTCTGCTTTGTATGTAAACAGGCCTGACTCTCGTATTGTCCTAATTACAGGATGAATATGCATGCATTCATGAATCATTCGAGGATGTTTTCCTTTTGTAGCAGGAGAAATAAATATCATATCTAGGAGTTTTTTGAGCATGAGGTGTCAGAGTGCGCTGTCGAGCTTTGGTTGGTGAGATACAGCTCTTGTAATAAAAGAACAAAACAAAAGTACTATGAACAACTTGCTGGCTTTTCTGTGTTTCGTCTAGTCTAGGAAGTCAAGTTTTCTATCTTTCTTAACTCTCATTCATTCTCCTCTATAGAAAATAAACATCTAGATATTCTTTCTATACCAGCAAATTGCCAGTTTTTCATTTTACACATAATTCAAGTAGCACAGCCACAGCGGTCCAGTCTGGCTCCTGTAATCAGTGTAATCTCATTCCCCGTCTTTCAGCTCTCTGAGCAGTGACGTGCATCTTCTCATTTCTCCAAATCGAGCTGTGTTTGCCTGTTCTCATTCGTTGTTACCATCGTCTTATTACAGCAAATATACTTTTGCCTCCAAGATGCTGTCTGGAGGTCTGAGGGTGAGCAGGTTTGACAGGGTCAGTGCGCCATGTAGATCATTATGTGTGGGCGTTAAGCACAGCTCATCAAACACACATTGATTCTGAGTGGAAACTAAATCACCTGCACAAACAAGCACGCATCACAGCAGCATGGTATCAGGGAAGGTTCTGGTAACCTGTTTGGGTCGTCTTTCTTATCACTTACACTAGGGCTGCACGATTCGTTCGATTTTATATCATAATCGGATAATTTGATTATGATGATATTAAAAAATTCATAATCATCAAATTGATTTTCCTCTAAATCGTGTCTCGCGCCTTCAGGCCAACGTAGGCTCCTCCTTCCTTCAAGAGCGCTCCCAAACTCCCACACACTCCAGTGTAAACAAACATGGCGTTTGCAAAAGAAGGCGACCAGTCCCGTCTTTATATTGACTTTTTTCAGTCTAGGGCTGCTGCTTTAGAATACTGTAGTAATTGAGTATTCTACCGAATATTCCAAAGATTAATCCGGTAATCAGATAAAACATTTTTTTAGTTAAAGTGCAATTATTAATATACAAGAGGAAATAAGACATTCAACTTGATAATGAACAATCGATTGTTTTCCTATTTTAGAAACAAGGAACGCGGAACAAACGTGTGCGCTAGCGGATTGCAATGCTTATAAGAAAGCTAATAATGCTATTTACTTTCATCATGCCCCCAAATTCATTAGTGTCCGAGGGCTAAATACCTCCTACGTTACTTGCTTCGGCTACTACACTGTTAGGCTGCAAGCTAGTGTGAAGAGGAGTGTGCAGAGCAGTGCTGTTGCTCATTGCTAATGAGCTACTGGAGCTCTGCAGAAGAAAAGCCCCTCTCATCATTCATTTTTTCCACTCTGCAAAACCAAAACCACGCTTACTCCTCCTTCTTCTGTGGTGACATAAGCGCGTCGTGTCACCTTGAAAATAATCTGTGCGAAACAGTGGCGATTTGAGCTTATAAACCAGTGCATGAGTACAGGAAAATTCCTGTGCTCATGCAACCTCATTTTTTGTAATTAAGGTACTAAAGGAATTGTTTAAGCCCTACAACTAACATACGATCACGATCAATTTATCCTCTGCATCCCTGCTGATCTGTTAGCGCATGTCATAGGGAACCTACATGCTGATTGGCTGTCACAGCAAGAAGATTCACAATGACACAAAATTGCACCACTCGACAAGAGCTCGTGTCCAGTCCCGTCTTTATATTGACTTATTCAGTCGTGCAAATGATTAGGGTTAGGCATGATTTGATATCCCTCCCCTTCTGCGTGCACACGTAGACCGCACAATCCTGGGGCAGGGAAGGCTCACCTCCTCTCTTGTTTCCAGGGTACAGAATAGAGCAGGCATCAGTTACAAAATATAAGACTCATAAAAGCATGAAAAGGAGGAGCTCAGGTTAGAATTGGGTTTTGTCAAGAAGCTCATAATAAGAAGTCTATTTTGACTTTTGAATATCTGATGTGTGGAAAGCTGGTATTTGGATCAACAGATGTACTGTGGGCGGAGCTGGACTTTGTGACCTGCCTGAACTAGCACTAACCTGAAATTAAGCGCTTTTTTTGAGTAAAGTGGAAATCTGAAGACAAAGTGCTTAAGATTAATGCAACCTCTGATTTATTTATGAAAGACAACGAAAGAGGAAAGTGTGATTCATATGATTTTCCATTATGAACCTGGACTCTGTAAAAATCAGTTTGTTGCACTTTTGCCTAATTTGTTCTACATTTTCAGCTCGAACCAATTTGCTCGTTCAAACCTCTCTTGTCCTGCGAGTGCCTGCAGCTCCCTGTTTTATTTCTCCACAGTTATTCGGCCTTACGCTTTTATCCAAATGGGACTCTCAATAAGTGCACTGAACCAAAAGGGTACTACCGAAGAACTGCAAAAACATCAGCGTCATGAAATACGCTTCGAGTGCTACATTTTTAGACCACAGCACTCACCCTGTGGGAAAAAAATAGTCACTTCATTTATAGAAATGATAAAAAATACAAGAGGAGAGGCAAAGCTGTAAATTTTCTTCACAGGATAAAGAAGAGAAGGGACCGAGGGGGAAATTACACGACTTCTGATCAATGGGACTCATGAATAATTGAGTATGAGGGTGTTTTCAGAGAGAGAGGGAGAACGAGAGGTGGGAGTGTCCTGTTGGGCTGATGTTCCTCCTGTTTGGGCTCACCGTGACGTTCATGTTCTGCTAACACCAGCACTTTCCTGCGGTAGTGTAGTAAATCTGCTGCTCACCGGACAGAGTAAACATCATAGAGAGAGAGAAAGAGGGGAAATACAGGAAGAGGAGTAGATTATGTAACACCTCTCTTCTATGGCAGATTCAACTCCTCTGCTTGAAATAATTCCCCCTCTTCCTCTTCCTCTTCCTCTGTCTCTCTCCTACGGATGATGTTGAGCAGCAGCAGCAGCAGCAGCGCTCTGAATCGGACGCTTTTCCCATCGACCTGCACGAGCTGCACCCCTCCTCCCCCTTCTTCTCCTCTGAATCTCTTCCTGCTCGCTCCTCCCTCCCGCCCTCTCTTCTCTTCTTTCACTTTCTAACCCTCCTGTTCCTCTTCTTCCTCCTCCTCCTCCTCCTCCTCTCCTCTCCACTCGGCTGTGGATGCCCTCCTCACTTACAGTATGGACTCAGGAGGGGAAGGAGGAGAGGGCTGGATGGAGGACCAGTGGGAGAAATGGTAGGGAATCTCTCTTTTTCTTCTTCTCTCTCTCTCTCAACATGGCTGTGTGTGACCTTGTGAGTGTTTTTCCGCTAACATGCCTGTTTTCTGCTGCATGTCGCCTCCTTGGATCTCGGGGCAGGGATGCCCTTGAAGGAGAGTGGAGGCAGATAGCTGTGTTTGTGTTTGTGTTTGAAGAGGAGCAGCGGAGCGTGCTGCACAGGTTGCTGCTTTCTGTTGACAAAAATAGGACCGGGGAGATGCCGATGGAAGAGAGGCAACGTGTGTGCCCAGAGTTTGTTTTCATACAGCCGGTGAGGATGGTGATGATGTAGGAAGGAGGTGGGGAGGTATCAGGAGGATGAGGTGAATCTAACGGGACGGTCCTGATCCTTGTCCTGGTCCTGTCCTTGCAGGAGGACGGCGCAGATGAATGACAGACAGCGTGCAGCCATGTAATCTCTCAGTGGGAGCATAAATGCAAATTAATGAGGTTATATGGGGGGAAAAGACACATGCATTCGATGCAAAACGTGATGCCCAACATATGTGGAGTTTGAAGCAATTGCGTGCTAGCAGTGCAACATAGATGCTAGTCCTATGAGGGTTTTAGCAGAGCTGGAAGTGTGGAGTGGGAAAATATTCACAGTTGTGTGGGAATCAGCTATCAAGCTTGAATGTGCCAGCAAACAGTACAAGGAAAATCTGATTCATTTTGTCCGTTTCTCATGTTGGGCTTGTTTTACCCCTCATAAGGGGATCTGGGATCTATAATTAGCAGTGCATTTGCATTTTTGTCAAACATTTTATTATTTTTCTGATGAATCTCCGCTTTAATGTGACCTTTCTCCAATGCAAACTACTAAAAAGGTGCTTTCTGCTGCAGGGAATGCAACATCTCTGGCAATTCTGGAGAAAAATAGGATTAACTCCCCCCCTGACGTTGTACAGTATCTGACCTTGCATGCTACTTGTAAACCAAACTGCATCCAAATTTGCAGAGCGGGAGGTAAATACAGTGCTGTTTGTTATCAGGGTCATAGCTGGACTTAGATCAGGACTAATGAGCTGGACGGGCCCATCCTGTCCCGAGCGCGAGGTCATGCTGTCCTTCATTAACGCCAGCAGAGAGGCAGGCTAAGGAGGCCAGTCTGCTGCCCTGTCACCCCCCGCTGTCAGGAAAACGCAGGAGTTTAGCCGAGATCCTCAGCGAGATGCACTGTTACATCCGTCCTGCTGTGCTGGTGCGCTGTCATGTCGTTTTACAACACGACACGCCGTCTGGGCTGTCATGTTTCTGAGGGGATGTCTTCAAATCTCAGCTTTATCCAGCAAATCTTGTAGATTATTCTGTGATGTGTTTTAAAAACAAAATTAAGAGTGAAAGAAAATTCAAGCCATTTATTTTACTTTATTTATTTTTCTCTGTGTGTCTGTGATACCCCTCACTTACACCTCTGTACCTGCTCAGTTATTATCATGAATATAGTCACAGGTTGATTAAGGCTGCTGTATATTTAAAGTCACATTTAAAGTTAGCTATAATGATAGTACATGCTGAGAATAGGTTCAAAATCACTGGATAGCTGTTGAAGTATTAAAACCACCCTGGAGAGGTGGACTGAGGCTTAAGACTCATTATAATTAAAATGAACTGACAAGAATCTTATGAAAAGAATCCATATTTGAAGAGCTGGGTGTGGGAACCGGATTTGAAGAACTCTATTCTAGGATGTGCCTGTTTTAGTTTCAGCCTTGAGCCATCCTTTTTACATTATACTCACCAAAATAACATGAAATAATCTATTTTCTGGTATATGTTGTCATATTTTTCCAACAAATGAAGATATAGAAATAATAGTTTTCCTCTTATCCAATTTGAACAATGTAGGATAAAAAAACTGCATGTCTAAGTTCATTTATACGGAGCTGCTCGTACAGAGTGCAAATTAGTATCAGAGCATTAAAATCATAAAGAATACTAAAACAAATATGGCATGAAGTGAAAGTAAGATTTAAAAAAAAAACCCAATGAATTTATAAGATACAGAAACAGCTTACAAAGGAACAACGGTCTTTTCTCTTAAATTACTATAACTTGTCATTTAAGGTATTAGCATCCTCGGTATACATACATTGTAAACTGTCGTTTTTTAGCATAGTAGCACACAACATTTAATACTGTGTCTTCCTGTTTCTGATTGTTTTGGATCATGATCACTTAGCAGCTAAAACAAGAAAAGAGTCTAAATTCATTTTAGGTGCTTGCAGCATCTGCAGGTAAACAGTGTCAAATTAGCCCAGTGTGGCTAACATTAGCAGAGCTAGTACCACCAATACTGCCTTCCCATGATGCACTACAAGACATCATCTGTGCTTGTTTACACTCGGGGAGTAGTATTGCGATATTTTTTCTGTTGATATATCATAATGTCTCATTTACCAAGTATTGATTTTTCAAATTGATTGCTAATATGAAGTCAAATCTACAACAATGGAAAAATGGCCCAAGATTCCCAATAAAATCATATCAGGGCCCAAGTATCCTGATAATTTCGTACTGGGGCCCAAGTATCCTGATAATATTGTATCATGGCCCAAGTTTCGCAATGAAATCCTATCATGGCCCAAGTATCGTGATACTATCGTATTGTGGCCCAAGTATCATGATAATATCGTATTGTGGCCCAAGTATCATTATAATATCGTATTGTGGCCCAAGTATCGTGATAATATCGTATTGTGGCCCAAGTATCGTGATAATATCGTATTGTGGCCCAAGTATCGTGATAATATCGTATTGTGGCCCAAGTATCATGATAATATCGTATTGTGGCCCAAGTATCGTGGTTATATCGTATTGTGAGGCCACTAGTGATTCCCACCCCTTGTTTACATCCAGGCTGCCTGTATGTTGAAAGTCCTTTCAGTTAAGCAGGGAAAACTGCCAACTGTTTGTTTATGTTGTAAAAACACAAAGACTGTTATGACACTTAAATATGATAACTATGTGGGATTGTTGTTTGGGTTCCTAAGGTGTTTTTTTGGGATCCTCTGCGGCCTGAATGTTCCAGTGATGCTGATGTTTGTGTCAGCGTGTTGCTCCTACGCTCTGACCGGCTCGTAGGATTTCACTTACAGCGATGATGACACAGTGCATGTGTCACAGACATCTCTGACCTGCACAGCCCAGCCGGTCTGCTGAGTCAGCAGCGCACATCGATTGCTGAGGATGTAGAGTGTGAGTGAGATGATGTGTACACAACAAGCAGCAGGAAAACAATCCCAGGGGGAAACTGATGAGGTTATTTTAGGTTCTGCGTGCTCCGGCTGATATTTGTGTCTTTATATAATCCATTCAGGAAAATTCTGATTGCTTCTTTTTGTAATTTTTTAAAGTGCATGGGGTTGTTTGATGATCGCACAAATGGGTGACAATGTGGGGGTGTCTGATTGGTGTTAGGACCAGGTCTTTAATTCTACTGCAGTGCACCTTCATTGGAAGTCATCCCATTTTGTTCCCCACCAAATGTGCGTCACACCACTTCATTGTTAACTTACAGACAGCAGACGGGCACTGTGAGAGAAAAGACCGCTGCCAAGGCCGATTTTCTGTATTTCTATGACATGCAGTTTTGCAAGTGTGATATTTTTATGCAGTATGAAAGGATAGATTTAAAAAATAAGTCAGATCTTCTATCATAATTTGCAATAGTAGCTCAAGTGGTTTTGAGTGACTTTTTGCAAAAGTTAACTCTCATATTAAATTATTAAATGAGTTAGAAAGAGCGTAAAAAGTCGTCCCTACATTCATCCCATCATGACTGGATCACCATGTTTCCCACATTTAGACCCTTACATCTCTTTTTACACTTCTCTCCTGCATTAGCTCACTGTTCATGATAAATGATTCAGTCATTCATTACTCTCTGGCCCTTGTGTCTGATAACCTACAGGGCCTGACACATGCTCTATATGCCATCAGGGAGGAAGAAGAGTTCTTAAGTACATCCCTCCTGTTAATGCATTTATTAAAGTCTGATGTTTCATGTCATACGGCTCTCTCACAGTGGGTTGCTGCAGATGTCCTCCTGCAGGATCTTATATGATCTTATTGCTGCAAGACAACCCATCCCTGACAGCCTTGTTTAAGCAGATTAACTGTTGTGATAACATAGAATTGACTGTAATATTTCAAAGCTTAAGAAGTATTTTATCTAAGATTTACTCATAAAGACTCTCTTCACTGATTAACACCGCTGACGATTAGTCGACTAACTGGAAACCTTGCAAGGATTATTATTTTTTTTGCCTTATCTAGTCTAAAGTGCTCCCAAACTTTGGAGGTTTTTAAGCGTATACTTGTAGCTGCTGTATGGGATATTAGCGCTGCCATGTTTGAATACCCTACCACTCGGCCAAGACGCTATTGCACATGTGTGACTCTAGGCAGAGATCGTTAAGACGTAAGATGCCTCACTCCACTGGAAAAAACCACACCTGGCGACAATAGTTGACAATGGAATTCATTGCTGACTCGAATCGATTTTTGTCGACAACATCAACTAATCGTTGGAGTCCTATGCAACATAAACAGTTAGATAAGTACAGAAGTTAGTATTTTATAGTGAAAATTCAACAATGAGATCACAGTGTTAATGATTTGGGTCTTCTGCTAATAGCTGGCGTTTGTGTTTGATGCTCATGTTTCTGTGGCATAGCAGTATGTTTTGCATGTTTACATTTTACGGCTTTGCACAGCTTCTGCGTTTCTGAATCTCTCTGCCATATTTCCTACAACTGTTGCCAACTGCAGCCTCATTTGAGGGGAGTTAGCATTCTTCTTCTTTTGTTTTAAACTAGGCTGGTATTGTCCTTCTTTAATGTGGTTTTAGATGCTTAACAGACACTCATGTGGGAGTATAACCAAGCACCAGAAAAACAACGGAAAATGTGACAGATAAGGCAGTGACTGCATCAGCTCTTTGTTTTTTAAAAGTTAATGGACACTTGACATTTAAATCAAAAAGGGTCTGTTGTATAAACTAATACAATTCAGCAGTACGTCAAAAGGCAGACAACAAACAAGCATCTTATTTTTGGGGTGGGATTAGTTTTCAGCCTTTTAAAGAGTATCTGAGAAATTTAAAGGTTAAACCCCAGAAACTATGGAGCTGTGATTGTGTCCACACACCTGCGGTACCTTAGCTTGACTGCATGCACAGTAGATATAACTGACAGTGTGCATGGTGGTAAGCAGGTGAGGGATCATGTGGCTGCATGGAGCACCAGGTGGAGTAGAGAGATCTGCAGAGTTAGGAGAAAAACAAGCTTGGGTCACAATACTGAGTTTGCATACTTTACATTTGATAAATCAGCATGCTTTTATCGTTTTTATTCTTTTTTTGTTTTTGCTAGTTTGTGGTTTATCAATTTTCTATCCAAGAGACAAGACTCAGAGAGGAAACCTGTAATTATTTAAGCTATTTAAGCTAAAATTATCGACATTTGTCATGGAGGTGTGAGCACTACATCTGTGACATGACTGTGCAGCCTGTTTGATGTGAGCCGACGTGACATTGTCCGCCCTGCGTGTTACCCTGTAAAATCTGAGCCCTGATGTGTGACATCGTAATTTCCTTGTATTATACACTCTGTTGGTTTTCTCCATTGTCTGCGTCTCTTCCTACCCACAATTCACTGCAGCAAAGGGGGTCACCCTGTCCGGTCGAGGCGGTTTATCTCCTTGCACTTAATTTTCTCCCTCCTCCATTCGTTTTAGTCCCCGTGACTCCCTCCATCCTGCTTCTGCCTCGCTTTACGCCCTCCTCTGGGTTTGATCTACAGCCACGTCATTCTCCCAGCTATTCCTCAAGACTTTGCTCTTTTTGTCCTCCAGTTAAAGGTCAGATTGAATCTATTTGAGCTGAAAACAATAACATATGTTTGGCTTATTGGCTCTGATCAGCTCTGCTGTCCTCCCTTCCCCTCCACTTTTATCCTTCTTCCTGTAAGTGATGCTGATAGCTGGGGGACACTCTGGGAAATATTGATTTTGTTCCTTCTCTGGCATCAGTCTGCAGAGTAAAAGAGGCTTGTAGTAAACAGATATGCTTACAGTTTTTAGTTTTCAAAAACAGTGTCCACAACCTAAGGACTGAAGTATTATCACATAGTTTGGTGGTCAGTCAGATAGCTTCGGTTAATGTCAGACTGTTTTGCTTTATGTCGAGTGTAAAAATGAGTTCAGGTCAAGAACCCCAGCACTGTCTAAAGAGTGTTTCGTTTATTTTTATGTATAAAATAGGAGGTCACAATATATATATTTATAATCTTGTAACTCATGCCAGAAATGGAATGTTAAGTCTTTCACTTCACTCAGGGTCACTGAATCTGCAGGTTAGCATTGTTGTGTCGGTTTGCTGTGTATTGCTAACCTTAGCAGAGCTAGCACCACCAGCTACACATTGCTTTATGTAAATTTTAACTGTAAATTTAATCACAGTTTTTTCTGAGGTCCCCAGCAATTTTACTACCCTCAATTTGCTTGTAAGAGGAATGTGTCCACTCCAATTTGAAAATGTAAATGTAAGACATGTACAGTCTAGGGCTGTAAAGTCCTGGTTGACTTATTGGTCGATACATGCTGAGTCGACAAAGACTCTGATTGGTAGACTAGATTTTTTTCCGCGACAATGTACAGTCCATGGTTAAGTTCATCAGGAGGACCGTACCAAGTGCCAGTGGGGGTGTTTTCAGAGCACCCCTGTTAACAGGTAACAGCCTGTCTTAGAACACCCTCCTTGTTTTCACTATTTTGGATTCACCCAATCCACTGGAGATGGAAACCAGCAGGAGACAGGAAGATCGAGTATCTATATTAATCAACGTCCGCTGGTTTGCTGAATTTATATATATTTTGAACTTTTCAACTTGCCTTTTGTGTTTTATTGCCTTCTTGTGCTGATATCAGTATATTTTCACCCCACCAAGCCACGCCCTGCTGTCAGAGTTAGACCCCAACCCGATTAGTCGATTTTTGGTCGAAAATTTCAGGGTTTCAGTCGACCAACAAATTCTTTGGTTCATTACAGCCCTAGTACAATCAGATATCCTGTTGTTTGTGTTTGGAAGGAAACTAAAGACAGCCGAGCATGCATGATGTGGACTGTAACGTGGAACAAAACAGCCATTCAAAAGCAAGCTAACTGCAGAAGGAAGTGCAGCAAACGCAGCCATGGCAACAGTAGTAAAAATTAGGCATGACGTTAGATGACAGATTTGTGTATTTTACACCAAACTTTGATTTTATGGCTGGGTCTAAATGGGATCAACAATGAGGCGTTGCTGTGTGTTCAATTGGAACTATTTACAGCTGTAGACTTCAAAGAAGAATCATATCAACCAGTGCAAAAGTTCAGCCTGTTAATGCATTTTAATAATGTTCATGTTATAAAAGGGGGGTCAGCGGCAGACCAAAGAGCTGTGTTGGGCTTTAACATCACACATAACTCCAATTCATTGTGTTTTCTTTGGTGTTTTCTGTGGATTTGTTGACATTGTGAAAATAATCCAACCTTTCCGGCCTCATCCATTCACAAAACTTGACAAAGAGGTTTTGTGACAAATAAAATACAGCAGCAGGAACATTATTGACAGATATTTTTAACACTTACAGTCAGCTGTCTGCCTCCAACCTTGTATTTAAGGAGTGATGCAAGAGTCTGCAGGTTTGCAAGTTGTTATATGAGGGTAAATCGTATTCGACTGGGTGATTCCTTGTCAGGCTCTTTCTCCGATTGACTCATCGTGTCTGTCAGGTGTTTTTATTCTCACCATAGCTCTTTCAGTCTCTTTGGATTACTGATTTACATCCTCTCTATCTTTTTTTTTGTTATTCTCCTCTTCTTTCTCTGTTCATCCTTCAGCCCCTCTCTGCTGCCTCCTTCAGGGCCTCATTATGGAGGTAAACAGCTGCTTCTATTCGGGCTATTTAACTCCCATACCCATCATTCGGCATGTGCAGCTATAGACAGCCACAGCTGTGCGTACTTTGGCAAAGTGTGGCAGCTGCAGTGTGGATGAAACTCTAAATGACAGTCTAACATCATGAAACAACAGATGGATAATGTCTCTTCTAGTGCAGTTAACCATGTTTTCCAAACGGGTGGCTCTTGTGCAGGTTATTACCGCCGTCATCCTCTCTTTGCTACCTCTAATAACGTTTTCCTCCCTTCTTGACTGCGTCTGATCTGCTCAGGAGGCTGCAGGGTAAATAGATAAAAGACGGACATAATTACAGATGGGGAAAACTGAAGCATTGTTTACTGGACGATAATTGAATCCTGCCACAGAGAGCAGGACACTGAGTCTCTCTGCCTGACACTGGAGGGATGACAGGGGTGGTTTCTAGAGCACTCGTGACCACAACATATAAATGTTTTCCTTCTGATCCTGAACTTTAGCCCACGGCTGCTCGGATATCGGTTAAGTGAATATGGCGGATGTCAACCTTCATGTAGAGAGGAAACAATGTCAGGCTGGATCTTTGTATGGGGGGTATTTTTCAGATGGAAAGACTTGTACACGTCTGATTCTGGCTTTTTAATGTAAATTTGGTTTTTAGGTTGGTCAAATTCATTTTTCTGGAATCTCATGAAGAATTTTCTCTGGTAGGACAGTTAACAAAGTGTAAATCCCATCAGGTGAGAGGAGAGGGTGACATGGTTGAAGTTTACTGATATTATTCTGCGTTCCACTTGTACTCAGAAGTTAGGATTTCGGAGCTCCGAGTCGGAAAGTCGGGCAAGCCTCACTAACCACGACTTGACGACACTTCTGTTTTGTTTTTGTGAAATTAAATAAGTGGTTTATGTTGTACTGCCCAACATCTAACTGTGAACACAGCGCTATGGTGTTTGTAAGACTAAAATACTGTGTTATGCGTTGTTTTCAACTGGTATAGCTAACAACAACTAACAACAGCTGACAATTGTTAACAACAGCCAACAGTCGGCGTCCATCTTGGTTTTCCGACTTGTTGACAGGAACGCGGTCAACTCGGGTGTAATGTCATTCCCAGCTCCGACATCCGACTTCCGAGATAACTGGAACGCAGCATTATTGCAAGTGCCTCAGGATGTTGAGTCTGTATCCTGGCAACAGTATCATGGAGAATACATGTATACAAGTGTTGTTACGATATGACTAAACTCCCTTGGAACATAATTTGGCCGAAGAGCGACTGTCAACAGTTCAGTATCTGGACAACACAACATCTGGATAAATTTTGGGATCAATTTGACGGAGGTCGAGCAAAAGAAAATTGTTTGCAAAGTTTGTCATGCGGTGGTCCCTGCTCCCTAAGGCAACCCAACCAACTTCAGGATTTCCCCGATATGAAATTGATCGACCACGGCTAAATAAAAGCTGGCACACCTAAAAAATGAGGTTTTTTTATTATTATTTTTATTTACACGGCTCTAACTCGGACTCATGTATTAGTATATGCATGAGCACATGGGCGCTGCACCGCGGAGCAAGTGTGCCCCAAGTATTAACATTGCGATTTATCGTCGGCGATCACAGAGCTGATTAATTTTTTTTACTTGTTTACTACTTGTAATGAATTTATTTCTGGCTATTCTTTTAAGTTATATTAAAAGTTTAGTTTTGGTGGTTCAATAAATACTCAAGTTTTGAAATTAAAAAATAATCGTGTTTATGAAACGTGATTTCAATATCAGTCAAAATAATAGTGATTATTATTTTTGTCATAATCGCCCAGCCCTAGCTTCAAACACTTTCCGTCAGTGATGGTTTTACTTTAACAGTGACAAAAGCTTATGGCTCAGATGTTTGATGTGTGTCTGGACCTGGATTTTGGATTCTGTTTGCCCCCCTTTCAGACGCATTATTTAGCAGATTTTGAGATGCATTGTGGGGGAAATGAGTGTCGAAGGATTATCATTGATTTTTTTTCTCCCTTCTCCCCCATCTCACCTTAATCCGCTCCTTCCACCAGGTTGACCCACGACATCAGCCTGGATGAGTTCGAAGATGACGACCTGTCGGAGATTACAGAGATCACAGACGAGTGCGGTATGAGCCTCAACTTCAACGGCCCGGATATAAAGGTAAGCCGTCCTCACAGAGAGCCTGTTCCTTCCAGATTTCCTAAAATAAGCTCCCCATTCATACAGGGAGGTCTTCAGACTCTGCTTTAAATTACTCTTTACGCTGACTCTGCGACATATAAGAGGATTCTTGGTGCAGCTGATGAGGTGAAGTTTGCAAAGTGAACCTGAATATTAAGTATATGTAGTAATAAAAGGATTTTATATCAGATAAATGGGTCAATGATGCAACACAATTAGATTTTAAGCTCTTACTTATGAGCGAGCTCAAATGCTCAGTTAGGTGTCATGAGTTTGAGGTGAAAAAAATCTACATCTGGACATGTAGCTTCAGGTGAGAGCTCTGCAAGGGGCGAGACTCCTCTCTCTGTCCCATTTAGTGCTGAACAGCTGCTGCTCTCAGCTTCCTGCCAGTCCAGAAGACAAGCCAGAGGCAGGGCAGGCTGACAGATGGTGACAGGGATGGTCTGTGAAGGACCTTAAGTTAGATCCAAGGACTGTATAAATAATGGACCTCACCCCAGTGGGGAAACAAAGCCTTTAGTTTGGCGTTTTGCAGCTGCCATGACAGCTTCTAGAGGAAGGGATACAGCTGGAGGAGGGCAGAGGTTAAAAACCACACAACTTAAAATAACCCATCTTCTCATCAGTAGGATCAACTGCAGCTTCTGCTAATGATAATCCTGACTCTCCTGCACAGGCTGGCTAACGTATTATCTATAATGCCTATTAAAAAATCCAGAGTGTGAGTGCCATAAACAATGCAAAAATCTGTTTTATTGGAGCCATTTCTGAATGAAATGAAAAAAGCGGAGCAAAAAAATGTCAGGACCTGCAGAAAGTAGTCTAGAAACAGGTCAAAAGTGTTGAGTGCACGCAAATAAACAAAATAAAAACAATAAAATGGATGGTAGTCTTGAAGGGCAGCAAAGCAACAAGTCGTAAAAACCAAAAAGATTAAAGAAGACTAAAAACATTGTAGGACAATAAAAAGAAGACAAACATCTCATCAGTTCACAATGAAACTAAATTTTAGTTGTTAAAAAAACTCTCAGTTTCAGCGGTTGGTAACACTACATCTGTATTCGTCCAAGCTGAGCTGACATTGAATTTAAAGCTCCTATAAGTAGTTTTTCATGTCTCATGAAAAAGACTAAAATTCTCAGTGATGCCTTTTTCAACTGCGTGGGGTGGGTAGGTGAAGAGACAGCCCTATTTTTACATTGCACTGCAAAAGAAATTCACAGTTAATGATGTAAACACTACCTACACTTGAAAGGGATAAGGTGACAAAGAATATTTTGTCCACAGGGGGCGCCACAATTGGCACAAACCAGAATTTCCTCACAGGAGCTTTAATATAACTGCCCCTCCAGGATTTCACAGGCTTCATTGTAACTGTTTTCACAAAAAGCGCCTGATCATGATTGGAGGATGATGACTAGGACTATGATTGGTTCAATTGCTGGAAAGTTGAAGTCACTGGACAAACTTGCAGAGGCGCAGAGTTTGCAGATATTGGTACTATTGTATGTGTTGTTGTTGTATCAGGACACTGAGGAGTCCGAGATTGTTCCCACTGGAACAATGAGACCTGTCTTATATTTTACATTCCTGGAAGGACTTATGAGCAGGATCTGTTTCTCTATATCTTTCTCTCTAACTTTTAACGTCTACTGACATTTTATCCTCACTCACCAGCCCAGTGACTCTTTCATAGTTGGCGATTGGAGTTTGTTTTCTTGGATTTAGTTGATGTCTCTCACTTAGCTCAGTTTAGTTGGACATTTCCTACAACTTTCTGTGCTTTTTTCTACTTCATTTTATTTTTTTCTTTGCTTTTTATGGAATTTTCCCCACTCATAGCTGTTTTAATTTATTTTTTAAGTTATTTCCTCGTGGATACTTGAAAAACTGCAGGTTTGTGCACTTCTGCATTGGCTTCATCAGAGGTTACAGCTTCGTCAGATCACATGCTATTTTCCTGCAACATCCCACTCATCTGAATTTTCACTCTAAGCTGTTCTGCTCAAGTTCTCTCAATTTTTGCATCACCCACTGTTGACTCTCTTGCTCTTTTTTAGCTTGGGGTCCTTGATAAAAACTGGAGCGAGTGTGAAGTGCTGCTATAAGAGACAGAGAGAGAGAGGGAGGGTGATGAAGAGGGGGATGTGGAGTGGTAGGGAGGGAGGAAATAAGCAGAGGTGAATTTATTATGCTGTCAGATCTCCCCGGCTCTGTTCCCAGTGAAACCATCATCACCTCCTCCTCCACTGTAACCAAGGCAACAGGAGGGTCGAGGGACTTCTTCCAGTGTCGAACAGATAATAGATTTTTTTTTTTCCTTATTTGACTCATATTTGATTTATTTTTTGTGACCTGGTGGATTAACTGGGATTATTTTTAGGTGAATGAGCTGGATCTCTCTCCCTCTGCTGTATCTGGTCTTCATGTCCAGGGAGCTTATTATCACCCAGATATGAACGTAAGAACTCTCGGCTGGAGGTGTGTAAACATCAGCGTGTGTGAACGCTGATGACTCACAAACCCGCAGGGGGGAATCGTAGAGCTCAGAATCCAAAATGGCTCCTTGGCAGGTAAACATAAGACAGCTGTGACAGCAGCAACAATAACAAACTACACGTGCTGCTGAGTGTTAACACTGTCAGAGCACAGAGCTGTTTGGAGCCTGTGCAGGAGGAGGATGTGAGGGAATTTTTTTTCACCTTGCTGTTTCTCTTTTTTTCCTCCATCATCAGTTTGTGGGGAAAGAGCAGGCTCTGCTGGTCGCTCTCAATAATGTCTTTTCCCTCCATCTCTCATCTTCACGTCATTCTGTCTGTTTGAGGTTTGTGGATTTTCCTCCTCCTGTTGTTTTACTCTTCATCACACACCGTCAATATTTCCTTTTCAACTTGCTGCAGGAACGCTTGTTGAGCTGACACACTTCAAAAAAGACAAACAGAAAGAGTTTGCTTTGAAATCATCATCACAGCCGTATTTTTTCTCATTATGTTGCATAATATGAGCTACTACTCTGGTGTAAGTCATAAAACAGCAGCATAGGCCACCATGAATAAAATGCAGCCTCAGGCCTGAAAGTGAATGTGTAAATTTAATGTGAGAAGTCAAGAGTCAGCCGCAGTATAACTTTACTGTTCATCTGAATTATAATGTTGTATTAGCAACACAATAGCTATTTAACTGGCTGTAGGGAAAAGGGTTAAATATCTCCAGTAACAAAATGGCACATAAAAGCTATTCAGTGTGGTTTATAGCAACAACACCCAGGGTCAGTTTGACCCAGTGCTTTCTGTAGGAGATATTGTCAGGACACGAGGTAATAACAGTCCTGAGAACAATAACAGTGAGCAGGTCAAAACAGCCTGTTTGTACTGGGTCAGGATAACTCATGATGAAAGGTCAAAGTTTGATTGGATTTGCTCCCTAACACAGGTGAACTAGCTAGAGCACCAAACATGATTGAACATGTTCCCATGTTGGTAGACCTGTGTTATCGCCATTTGCATCTTCTACAGATATTACATTATACTGTAAAGCTGAGCAGTTTGAAATAAAATAATGATACGTAAAGCAGCATCAGGGCGTCAGGACTAATGGGTGATTTCCCTGACAAGGTTAGTCAATCAGAAATATAAGAAGAATTAAACATTTTATGAGCAAAAGCAGAATAAAATGTATTTTTATTGAAGGAAAAAGCAGGAAATTCAAGTGTTTTGTGGTCAGGATGCACCGCTGTCTTAGAGAGAGAAATAATTTTGGATTAATTGTACTTTTAGTAGTTACATACCTTTTCTTACTCATCGCTAGGCTGTGTTGAATACTTGGTCTGATTGGTCAAAATCTCAGAACAACAGTAATTAATCCTGAACAGCAGGAGTAATTCTGCAGAAGACAGTACTTAGTTCAGCCTCTCTGCATCTAAACCCATCAGGATGGTCTGGTCCTGCTCGAGGTTTCTACCTGTTCATTGTCACCTGCTTCATTTATGCTCACGATGTTGGATCTCTGTAAACAACATGACTAGACCCACAGCTGGTGGACAAAAACACAGCTCTGAAATGATTACAGTCCTGCTCTTGTTTGATCGAACAGCTGTGTGCTCTTTCTTAATTTTTCTGAATATGTTCTTGTCAAAGTGGACACACCCTCAGAGGACTGTTGAAAGTGCTCCTGTGTGACCTGCAAACCTCAGAGTCATATCTTTGCTTTTTTTCCATTTCCTCTCTGATTCAAGTGCACACAGCTTAATGGTGGTCCGTCCAGTTTAAAAATGCATGAGGGGTGCAGCAGCACAAGGGTTTGGGAAATGCATATAGTGGGGTTATGAACTGAGCCCTGACTGTATGTCCACACACACACACACACAAAGACAGAGAGGTGACCTCATCATCCCAGGGGGGATTCACTGTGCGTCTAATCTCATCAATAATGGACGGTCACATAAAGGCGGCATCACTCACCACAGACAGGGGTAGTGTCTGTCTCTGTAGGGGGTTAGGGGAGGGGTCAGAGGGTGTGTCCCAGCTGTTGCAGACATTTGACAATGCTGTTACAGGTCAAAATGACTTCCTGACATTTTTACAGTCAAGCAGTTAATTGGTTAAAATTAACCCTCTGTTTATCATATAACACTAAAAAGATTCAACTATGGAACTTTTTTGTCATACGTTTCATCAATGAAGTGTGATGCAATGAGAAAAAAGAGGAGACAATATAGATTTATTTTCCCTAAGTGCTGGTTTAAACGGTCTCCTAAGAGCATTTGTGTAAAGCTGCACAGATTTCTCCAGAAAGATTTTAGAAAATGCCTCAAAACAGATCCCGCAATGATAGACGTGTGTTTGTACTTTCTTCTCAAAAAGGAGCAAGGACTACAGACAGACCGACACCTTTCATTTCATTCAAAAAGTTGCCAGAAAACCCTCAGCCGTCTCACTCTTCCAGCATTTTCAATTCAACATCTTTCTGGATATTTTTCAACAGCAGCTTACAAAATGGGAAAAGAGCGAGCAAACATTTACTTCTCAAACAAAGCTGTTGCTTCTTGATCTGGCATAAATCTTGTCCTCTGATCCTCTCAGCTTCACGGATCTAAAGTTGATTCCTTTGTTGTAAACAGAGAGGAAAAGATGGATTTCTATACGTGTTTGGCATGTGGACATAGTGATGGAGGGTTATTAGGGAGTAGCAGAATCCCTTGATGAAACATAAAAAGGCTCTGTTCCCCAGAGACACTAAATGACAGCATGAATTACCAGGACCACTCTGTGTGAGAGTGTGTGAGAGAGGAGAGTGCCTCCATGTTTGTGTGCAGGGTTAATGGATTTGATTAGCAGTCATTTTGTCGTGGGGATGGTTGAAAAAGTCCGTGTCGAGGTGAGGTCAGATAGAAGGGGCTGCAACATTACATGGTGGCACATTACAACCATGGACCCCTACACGGCACGGACACATAGGGATGAGATTTAAGGCTTGTTCTACCAGACGGCTCATTAAGTTCTTTGACTTCTTAATCACAATTAATACAAACACAGTATGTGCAATAGGACTGAAACAAAAATAGATCATTTATTTATGCAAACGTCTGAGGTTCTGATTTAGAGAGAGAATAGATCTCATTAACGCAGAGAAGAAGAGGAAGAATGAATAACAAACAGGCGAGAAAAGAAGAATGAGATGTAGGGGAAGAAAAGGGACGTAGTGTGTGTATGTAGGGTAGGAGGGGGGGGGCTGCAAAACACGTCCAAGACGAGAAGGAGGCCTATTGCCATGGCAACAGTATTTCTCCCACCTAGTGCATGTGTCAGAGCTGAAAATACATGCAACACAGTGTTGGTGTGCCCCCATGGTTACAGCTCACGTCATGTAGTTCACACATGGAAACAGCCGAGGAGAAGCTGCTTCATCAACACAAACAGGAACCAACTCTCGTCAGCTGGCCCAGTTTGCATGGATATGTTAGGAGCTGCACAGAATGATTTAAACTGTTTTCTATTTATGTTTAGTCTTGGATGACACAACAAGGATTTGCGTGTTTAGTCATCTAGATGAATAGATTTGGTCGCCCTCTGTGGTGGTGGGCTGCAAAATCCAGAGCTCTGCGGCCAACTACAGATTTGTTTAATCCTGGTGGATTAAACAAATTAGTCATGTTGTTATTACTGTTAGCCTGGAATGGCAACCATATGTTTTGCTTGAAATGCACCTCAGCCACCTTCCTCTACACTATACTCTGTCAACAAAGACATAAATTAAAGATGGGATCAGATTAGGGCTGGGCGATATGGCCTCAAATCAAAATCACGATATATTGAGCAGTTCACCTCGATAACGATAAATGGACGATAACTACTCCACAAGCTGCTCACCCCCTCCCACATTAACTTCGTCTACTTCAGCCACCGCTCCAGCCACTACAACTTTTGAACAGTCCTCCGTCTCCTCACCTGTCTTTCCCTCTTTGTTACAGACTGGATGGGGTGGAGTCACGTCTCTGACGTAGGACAGCGTCTTAAAGGGACATGAGACCGTAGCCTACCAAAACTAACTTTTATTTATTATTGTTTCAGACACTGAATACACTGATATAGGCAAAATGACGTTCGTTATTGTCATAAATTCCAGTATCTGTAAATTGTCGGTTTATCGCCCTGCCCTAGATCAGATTGAGCCTCATTTTGTAAGACCAGACCCCCTCCAATCTCATCTTCCACCACAGACGTGTTGCTCTTTGCAAAATTTAGCAAGTTACAGTGAAGAGCAAAAGCTTCTTTTAACAGGCAGAAACCTCGAGCAGAACCAGACTCATGTTAGACAGTCATCTGCCACGATTGCATTGTGTTTGGAGAGGGGATAGAGGGAGATGCAGAGATAGAGAGAGGTGAAATTGGTGCATGCAGTTGAACCAGCTAGAGAGCAGGCATGTGCACTGCAGCAAAACATCTGCAGCAGCCATCCAGAGGAAACTGTGACATGATGGAGCTCAGGGACTCCCAGCAAACATGGCAGGATAATTATAGGTCCACTGCAAACTCCTTTTAGGTCTCCCTAGAATTACCAAGAATGAAGATTGAGGGAAAACTTCAATTCTTGACCCTAAAGATCCGCTGCCCAGATCTTTGCGGGGCTTTTTCTTGGCATGGATTGGGTCCAGTTGAGCGAAGGGTCACTGCTGTTGTTCTGCGCCATCTTGATGGATGTAGTCTTATTCACGATTACAATGCACCAGTCTAATTAATACACTCACTCAGGTCTCACAGTCACACTTCTATCTAGTTAAAAGCCCTGGATGAATATGGACATCAAATAAATCCCTGTCTGTAGTAGAAATATGTTTCACTCTTGGCAGAGAGTCCATAATACTTGTCAAATTAAAGTAGAGGAACATTTTGAACCGTCTCACAGAGCTCTTGGTTTTTCTGTGTTTTTCCCTCCTGTTTTTTTTTTCTGAGTCATGTGTTGTTGTACCTGACCTGTTGGCTGGGTGATTCCCCTGCTTAGGCTGCTCCGATTGGACAGCAGCCGAGCATCACGGCATCTACCAGGCAGCTGCTTCTCTTCAGCCTCCTCATCGTCACTGAGCCCCCTGTCTCCTAGCAACAGGGGCCAGGGCTCTCTTAAAGGTGCCAGACGTGTTTGCGAGGACATGAAACATGAGGGACCAAGTAGACGCTAATTGCATTAGCAATTATTGATCTTAAGCAGGTGAAAAGGTGAGGAGAGAGAGAGACAGGGAGGTTGATGACAAGCAAAGAGATGGTTTGATGGGAGTCATCTGAAATTATAGGAGGTGGAGGGATAACAGCGTCTTCTGACAGTATATCAGATTAGGGGGTGACATGCCAGGACTGAGAAGGAATTATTGGACAAAATTATTTAAAAAGAGATTAAAAAAAAGATTAACAAAAGACTAAATGGAGAAGAAAACCGACGGACTAAAACAATGTGATAGCACACTCATAGTGAAATGGATCTTGGGGTTAAAAGATAAATAAATACAGAGTGGGGGGGGGGGGGATTTTTGGATGGATGGATGGATGGATGGATGGATGGATGGATGGATGAATGGATGGAGGAATTTAAGGATAGATGGATGAATAGGAGAGTTTTTGGATGAAAAAATTTAAGGATGGATGGATGAATGAATGGATAATGGGAGAGTTTTAGGATGGATGGATGGATGGAAGAATTTTAGGATGGGTGAATTGGTGAATAGATTGGTGTGTAGATGGATTGAACTGATCGATTGATGAATGGATTTATATGTGAATAAATGGATCGATAGATTGATAAATGGATAGATTGGTAAAAGGATGGTTGGATATAAGAATTTTAGAATGGATAAAAGGATGGATGGATGGATTGGAAGAAGGATGGATGGATGGGTGGGTGGATAAATAGATGAATGTATGGATGTATTGGGTTGGTGGATAGATGGATTGATGAATGGATTTTTTTGTGAATAAATGGATCGATAGATTGGTAAATGGATAGATTGGTAAAGGGTTGGATGGTGGGATTGGAGAATGGATCAAAAGATAGTTTGATTAATTGTTAATTGTTTGTTTAGGCCAAACTAAGAAAGTGTTTTTTCACAGTAACAAGCTACAGGTTCACAGTGATGAGATTCAGACTTTTTATGGCCATGGCCGACTAAATCCACCTGCTACTATATGGAAGGAGTGCAGAGTGAGTGCACACTAGCTTGCTGATCATTGTAAATGAGTAAAAATATATACAGTTGAAAAATGTGTTTCACATACTGCAGTGAGCATCAAACATCCTATTGCATTGTTTCTGGATGCTTGCATTCGGTTTTAATCCTTTCTTGTTCTTCAAAAATCACATCTGGGGCATCTTTAAAGAGACATGATTTTTTTTTTTTTAGAGAGAGTCCACAGAATTTCGATTATGTGGACCCTGAATAAAGCAGTGACACAAACATGTCTCACTGAAGTCCCAGTTTAAAAGGTTTATGGCTTTTAAGCAAATTACAACAGCAGCTCCTCTCGAATTCACACAAGCCTCCTTCTTTTCAGAGTGAGAGACCACTGGGTGGCTGTGATCAGTGTTTCGCTGCATACAAATGCGCTTGAAGGCAACAATCAGCCAGTGGAATTGGATTAACCTCCTTTCTATTCACCCAGTGAGGTAGTTCAATATCTGGAGCGGTGCACACGCATGTTAATACCTGCTCTGCTCTATTTGCACTGAAGCTCACACAGAATGATCATTATAATATAATCAAGACAATAACTTTCATATTTTCAGGTACTGTATGTAAAAATGGGATTATATACCAATATTTAGTGATCTTTAAACATTCCCTTGCTCACCCCTCATGTTGGTGCACATAGCCAGGATGCTGATCCGTGTGTGTTTACGTTGTGTCTACATGTGGAGCTAATACTGTTCTTTACTGTAATAGGCTTAACAGTGACTGTGGAGTCCAAATCAAAGTTTTAGCTGACAGCAGAAATGGTTGTGTGTGTGTGTTTGCGTGTATGTACGTGTATGTGTGTGTGTTTGTGTGTAGCTGCGGGCATTGTGATAGTAAGTGAAGCAGACAGTCGTGTCCCAGTGCCCTCTGACTCCTTCTGTCTCCCAGACGACATGTTGGTTTGGCACTCGCTTTGAACTCAGCAGCAACATGAAAAGACGTCTCACTGAATCTCGTCACAAAGTGAAACAGCTACTTAGATTTTTCCGATTTTTGGCACCACAGGAGACAATTCGAGTTGAGGAGATGGAGTTAGAAAATGAATTTTCTCTGAAAAATTCACCAGAATAATCTATGATCAGAGCTCCAGAGATTTCAACTCTTAATTCTCAATTACTGTTCCTTAAACTAAACTTCATAATTTCTTAAACTGAATGAACTATCACCACAAACTGCAGAATCATAGACAAATATTTAGTTTAAAAAGATGGTATTATGCTTATTTTTTGCTGTATAGTGACCTTGAGCTTCTTAGCAGCTTCACAAAATTTACAGTTCAGCAAATTCTTCACTTATTTTACGCTGCTGTCTTTGAAAACTCTAATTTCAGCCTCTTCAGCCTTCAAGCTACTTTCTCTTTAAGGTTCCCCCAGCATTCCAGAAGCCTCCTTCACTGTTGCCATTCGACTGTTTTCAAGCCATTTAGAGCACCCAGGGGATTACGTCAATAAACATTAACTATGCAATCTGAGGCTTTGATCAAGTAAATTACTGACGTCCAACATTTTAATTTAACATTTGTTTTTAGAATATGAAGGACAGCATAATACCCCCTCTTTAAAAACCAAGAAAATCTAATTTTAGTGTTTTTTACGATTTAGATATGAGACAAATCCAGTTTGGATGTTATGGAAACAACTTGAATTTGATCAGAGCAAGTATTTGAAAACTCAGCTGAAGGTTCAGACTTTACACACATATATTCTGGGTAAATCTGTTTTGAAATTGATGATGTTGAAGAGGTAATATTTACAGCCTCTAATATACGATCAAAAGGCCAAGGGTAAAAAAAACACAGGACAAACACACCAGGATCTGTCCTGGCTTGTTCATAGAGTGAATTCAATGTCCAATGGCTAGCTTCATCGCCACCACTAGCTACATCTGCTAGATGCCAGAGCAAGAAGCACTAGGAGCCATACAGGTGACCTCAACTGCTGTAACACACAGTGTTTGAGAGCTCTCTGCAACTCTTGAGACCTGTTGAACCCTCCCTAAAGGTGGGTGGCTGTTCACTGTCTCTAAGGCGAACTAAGCTCAGGTTCTCGCTCATTAGTCGCAAAATGAGATGCCCAGTTCCCAGCTCTCCAGAAACATGAGTTTTTTTAATGCATGTGTTGGTTTTAGCATGTTAACGCACAGCATTGGTCATTGTTACCATTCAGACTCTGTGGGTGCATGTCCACAAATATATGTCAGAAAAGGGCAACAAGCCTGGAAAATATGGACCCAATATTACTGCATGTTGTAAGTCCCCTTTGTAAAGATAGATAGCAGTTCCTCTGTATCGCTCAGTCAACATGACATTTTGGTTTTCTGCTGCTGCTTCAGCTTCCACGGTGAAAGGAGATGATACCAAAGAGCTGAAAATGTCAGCCGCTACAGACTGACAAGAATAATAACAAACCCTGGCTAAACAGGAATTGCTTTTCATGAGCAAAATGTCAGTGGAAAAGAAGGAAAAAATGAATCCCAGTTGATAATAGTCATCAGGTGGCACTGCAGCTCAGAGTGGATAAAAAATGCTTGGATTATAAAGAGGTGTGAGACTGAGATTTGCAAATCAAAGCAGAGGGAGTTCTCATTCTCATTTTGTGGGTAGAGTGAGTAAACGCTGTCCTGTGGAGAAGCTGACGTGGGAATACTCTCTGCCTCTGCTCTTGGCTTTAAGCAGCTCAGAGTCGGCAGCGACCGCGTTACAGGCTGAAGACAGAGCAGCTTCTAATTGGCCGGCTCAATCTCCTCATCCCATCCACACGCTCTCTCTATCTCTCTTCGCCTGTATCTCTCTCTCTTTCTTCAACACGACTGACAGCACGTTTCCTCCAATCCCTGCAGGGCCATGTGAGGCGAGGAACCAATAGCATGTCGGGGAGGGCCGAACTGGGTGCTGTTGGCCAGCTCCAGGCAGAGATGTTGCATTTGGAACTCATCGACGGTGCTGACTCTTACCGTGGTGACAAGGAGTCCTCCAAGGCGTCTGCCATCGCACCCCAGCCAGTCACCAAGGACCAGGCAGCACCTGTTACCATGGATACCTACAGGCCCAAGAGACCCACGACCCTTAACCTCTTTCCCATTGTGCCACGAACACAGGTAGGACATAAATTCATTTTAACCTCACAAATTCAGACACATTAACTCACATTAATCAGCATTAGGAGCTCATTTTCAGATCCTATTTGTCTGTTTGTGTTCACCCTCTTGTATTAAATGTGACATTTCTGATCGGAAACGAGGGATGAATATACGTGACATCACCGTTGGGTTCACAACAATTGATTCTCAGACAGGATGTGTTTACTGACCTGAACAATAGCTGGAATTGTCACTGCTCACAGAGAGACACAGATTTTTTTTTTCCTTGGTGCCCATCTCTGTTTGTGTTTGACTGCTGCTGGAGCTCGTGACTGTGTGTGTTCGTGTATTTCGGTCTTTGTGAGGACGAAGGTGTGAGACATTATGTGCCAAAGGTTGTGTGATAGGTTTATTTTAGGCGTAAGATCACAATAAGATACTATTAGGAATGACAGACTATCCTGTATTAATCGTTTTAGGTATAAACATCCAAACATGATCGTGTGTGCTTGGGTGAGGCTGTATGTATGTGACTTTGTAGGTATTAATGAGTCAGGATCACTGTCCATTCTCCTTATGTGCAGTCAGCCTGCTGTAAGTCCTCTAGATTAAAAAAAAAAAAAAAAGACTGTGTTGTTTGCATTTTAAACAAGACATAAAAATCTATCTATTAGAAGAGCCAAAAACCTGGTCTGAGCTTTTAAACCTTCAGGAAAACACTGTTCAAGAAGTAAGAAGTTAAAAGATTTGACACATAGTTGAGATCTGGTTGGGTTCTGGCACATTGGCAACTCTTTCCAAAGTAAGACCAACTGTTGAGTTGGAGTATCTCCTTTAATACGGGACTAAGAGCTTGTGGTTTAAGTCAGAGGGTGCTCTATATGTGGTTTAAGGTGGTTAATCTGCTGCCTTTTTTGTCTTGTCTCATCTCGATTCTTTCTCGCATTGTCACATGGTTGAATGTCCATATTCGTCCATTCTTCCCAATTGACACCTTAAGGCAAATCTAGCCCAAATCTGACCCTATTTTTTGAGTTCCTTGGCTGCTGTGGAAGCCATGGTGGTCATCTTCTTGTAGCATTGTGCTTAGGGTAGAAAACTCAAATATTGTTGCCATATAATTACATCCAGTCGTGTTAACCTTGGAAGGCTGCAGTATTTGAATATACTTTAGAAGTATGCACAGACATCAGGCCATATTTAAGGTTATAAAACCATAAATGACAGCTCATTAGCCATCATCAGAGTGCAGCTGACATTGACGTAGCGCCACTTCCTAGTTATATCTTACTTTAAAAATCACAGGCAAAATATTATTTCATGCATGGCTGCAGAAGAAGTCTTAATGTTTATATCCCAAAGTATTTGAAATCTGTGTGAGCTTGCTGGCAATTTTATGTTTAAGTTATGGACAGGCATACATTTATGAAAAAGTTTGCTGGCAACTTTCAGCCTGTTACTATGACAACCACCTAGGCATTGGACTAAAATTCTCCAGTTGGCAGGGTCATTTCCCAAAACCCAACACACTGGTCACGCCTTTATCATCATTGGTACAATACGATACGATACGATACGATACAATACGATACGATACGATACGATACTGTCTCCCCAAGGTTTTTTTTTCTTGTTTAAAAAGAACCAGAAGGTAGATATGATATGATACGATGTGATACAATACAATATGATATTATACGTTGCAATACTGTCCCCCCAAGGGTTTTTTATCTTGGTCGAAAGAACCAGAAGGTAGTTACAATACGATACAATACAATATGATACAATACTGCCCCCCCAAGGGTTTTTATCTTGTTTGAGAGAACCAGAAGGTAGCTAAACACTAACATGAGCAGTGTTCGGATGTAACCTTGGCTGTAAGCTGTCAAATAGACCTTACGATAAGACATGATAGGATACGATACAGTACAATACTATACGATACGATATGATACAATACTGCTCCCCCAAGGGTATTTATCATGGTCAAGACAATTAAGAGGTAGCTAAACGCAAACATGAGCTGTGTTTGAATGAAACCTTGGCTGTAGGCTGTCAAATATGTTTTTACTTTGATCAAGCCCTGATTTATCTCCTTGTTCCCTCTATCTATTGTCTTCATGACTGCTTATCCAGGCAGTCGAGGAAATGCTTTGTGTCGCGCTTTTGTGTCCAAAAAGCTGTAATGAGCTTTAGAGGAGGCGATATTTCCATTTGAGTGAACTGTTCCTGAGGACTGAAATAAGTTCAGTATATACAAACCATTACTAATTAATTCAAGAGAATAATCAAGTCATTTCACGTACAAATCAGATTACTGACTCAAGATGAGAGACTTCGTAGAAACTGACACTAATGCAATCGACTAATCAATACTAATGCAAAGCTGCCAGCCAGCTGCCAGTCTGCTTGCCTTACTTAGCCTGCCACACTAACCTGTGACTCTGTTTTCTACTGTTAGTGTCTGATAAATTAAGAAACGGGGGTAATGTGAGGGTAAGATTGAGTCGTTATTGTTTTATAAAGGCAGCTATAATACTTATTTCAGGTCTACTCTTTAAAAGAAGAGTCCATGCTGCTGGTATACATAGAAATGTCTGCATGATAGTGCTGCTATTATGCAATCAAAACAATGAAGTATACGTTAGTGTGTAGCATGCACACTCCCCCACACTGCACCCTGTCTGCATGATCATCCAAGCAGCTCTATATTTGCCTGCGCTTTGTTCTTTGCCCAGTTTCCATGAGGCTGAAACAAGCTCACTGTTCTCTCTGCTGTGCCTTTTCCACTGCGTGTGTGTAGATGCTTGCTTGTGTGTGTGTTTGGAGATGTCAGAATTGGGAAGTGTAAAGGAAATAATTGCTCAGAAACGTTTTCATTCTTGGCAAGTCTTCCTGTCTCCTGGGACATTGTTATCTGTGTTCACACAATCGTGAGATAGAAATTGCTGAATGGCGGAGTGTTTCCTGAAAGTGGCCTTTGCATGAACTGTAAAGACATCAAGCAACAGACTGAACATCTCATTAACATAACCATCCAGCAGCAGCAAAAAAAGTTTGACTTCTGTTGCATTTGTTGGATTTATTCTTGTTTGCAGAAGACAATCCCATAATCTCTAGGCCTTCAGGCGGCACTGCATTAAAAACAGATATGACTCTGCAGTGGAAATCTCTGCATCAGCTCAAATCCACATCTTAAAACCAGTCTGTGAATGCAATTGTTGCATTATGCTCAGGTTAAAACTGCAACATGCTTCGGGTGCTGATGCCGTCACTGATGTCCTAACAGTTGCTGGTCTGATTGCCGGCCACAGCCCTTTGCTATCTGTGCTCTCTAGTAAAGGCAAAAATGCGAAAAACCACTTCTTTAAAAAGTGTAACATAAAGAAAAAGTCCCTTAAAAACATGATCCAGAAACATTCTCTGGACCTAAGCCCATTTCAGATATACACAATATATAAAGTACACAGACAGGCTTCGTGTATGTAGAGAACAGAGAACTGGTTTTGGTGGATTTATGGTCTTGTACACCTTCAAATGAGACACTTCTTCAGGTCTAAAGGCCTTGGCTGGCAGGGATGTCTGCAGTTTAGTCAGCCACTGCAGACAAATGTGATGAGATGGAGGAGTGTTTTTTTTTTTCTCCTGAGACAGAAAATATAAGAGGAATGATGAAGGTGGGACATCGGATGGATGTGTGAAACTCAAAATGTACCTCTGGCTTTGCATCATTCTGCAGTGAGTTGACAGATTTGTGGTTGAACAAATATTCTCTTAACATTGGTTTGAGATTTGAACAGTGAGGACTTCACATCGAGGATTTTGTAACATGCCTTGTTTTATTCTAAAACACTGAATCAGTTCATAGACAGGGTCAGCAAGAATAGTTTTGTTTCAGCCTTTAAAAGCTAATAAAATACAGACTTTAAAAAAAGTGATTAATAAGCTGAAGGAGAGATACTTGTGGATTTTAAAAAATGAAGCCAACTACTCTGTATTTAAAATAATGGGTTTTTAGGTGGAACAGATGAAGGTATTTTGTGTGAAGGAGCTTGAGTTGGTGAATAAACAGACAGACAGATGTCCACCTCAGGGAAGGGGAGGGGAGCCTCCCTCTTAATCCAAATCAAGGTCTAATCTCTGACCTGTCTGCAGGGAATCCCCTTAAAGAAGAGCTTGACCTCTGATTGTTTAAGAGTGTAAATTCACTTTCCATTGCACAGGAGTGTCTATGTAATATCTGAATGTTCTTAACATGGTAACAGTAAAAAAATAGAACAAATTTATTGAATCAAAACGACGAAATGAGTCTGCAAGACAGTTTTTAATTTGTAGAAAATTTTGGCCTGGTTGCAGGACCTCATTACAAGGCACATAGATATCAACAACTAGACTCTAAGATAGACTATATTAATGTGGACTCTAATATGAGAATAAATACTGACGTCGAACATGTCGCCACACTCCCAGGGATCTGATATCAAACATCTGCTTTCTGACTCACCCTCGTGTAATTATCGATGCAGACATTCACACGAAATCCATAGTTACTATTGTCGTACAAATCTTTGGCTCTCAGATCAATGCCGCCGTCTCCCACCTGCTGATTCATCCGATACCATGGCAACAGCCCTGTGTCCGCCTAGTTCACATAGATGGGAAGTGACTCATATGTGGTGGGCGGACAGAGGAGGACGATAAGTTATATTTATAACAAATTGCCGTCATAGGAGTTTCCAGTTCTTCTTCTTTCTGTCTGTTCGAATCTTTATTGTCTGTGTGGGTTAGGGTTAGGTGTTTCCGTCTCTGATCCGTAATCAATAAATCGCCTTATCGCTCGATAAATTAAAACGAGGTCGGTCATTTTGCCAGCCTCGATAATAAACGTGCGTTTGTTTTCCTCCTCTCTCGCTACCAAACACGCTGGATGAGAGAAGAGGTCTCACTCTGCGCATTTTTCTCGGCACCTGGGGGCGTTGGCTCTATAGCGGAATGAACGGAGTTAGTGAACCCTCCTGTCAGTCATTCAGTGTCTTTGTCACGGGGGGGTCCGCGCACAGGTACACGTAGGCGCGCACAGGCACACAGACACAGACTTTTGGGTACAGTGCTGCAAGTGAACGTAGTGAGTGAAAAGCAAGCAAATAGAATGAACACGACAGCTTTGGTGTCTAAACCGAACGCAACAGCCCAAGTGTGGGAATATTTCGGCTTTAAACCAGTATTGTTTTCGTCAACCACAAAACTCCACGTGTGTGCGCGCGCGCTCGTGTGTGTCTGTGTGTTGGAGGAGCACAGCAGGCTGATGAGAGCTGTCAGAGCGGACCTAAGCTGCTCCTATATGTTAAGCGTTTAACTGACTGAGTTTTGCAACTCTGTTCGTCATTTTCGTCTCGTCCCATCAACGTAAACGCACTTTCGTCTCGTCACATTTTAGTCATCTCCGACTTATGTTTAGCTCGTCAACGTTACGTCTTCGTCGTGGGTAAAATTAAAGTTTATCACTTTTGACACGATGTACTCGCATTATTATGCCATTTAATATCATTATCTATAATTTAAAAAACGGTGTCAATAATATCGTTTATCGGCGATAATTGGTAGCACAATTATCGTCCAGCAAAATTTGTTATCGTGACAGGCCTGTTAGGTGTTTCCGTCTCTGATCCGTAACTAGACAAGGATCAACATGAAATTTGTTTGTACAAAGGCACAATTGACTTTCCAAAAGATGGGCGCCATCATTACAGCTTCACAAAATATTTTGATTCATCTGTTCAGTATAACTTTTAAAACACGCCTCCTCTATGGCAACAGATGAGACATGGAGAAAACATTAAAATCATAAGATATATGAAATTATTACCATAACACTTTATATGAACCCAACATTTATAACACATCATGAGACCCTGCAAAAAGCCTGTTAAAAGCAGGCTGTGTAACGATTTCTATAGATAATGATAAGCGTTTAAGCAGTGAGGATATTGCACATTTAATATTTGATCTGTAATGCATTTTTAAACTATAAAATGCTTTTATCTATTATAACTGTCATTATGAGATTCAAAATAAAATAGCTGGTAAAAGGAATGATGAATTGTGAATCTTACACTTTAAATTTATTCATTATGTGCTTATTATGTATTATAAGTGGTGAGTTCATATAAAGCATTTATATTATTTCTTCATTAACCGTGCTAATTGTCATTTAAAGCTCCTGTTAGGAGTTTTGTGGCATCTGCAGAATAAACTTAAATTCATCTTGATGCCTACTAATGATATTCAAAATTAAACAAGATCATAAGGCACATTTTTAATGACTTTAATTTGTAATTTTTAATGCTTGAAACTGGTGCAAGGGGTTAGGTGTCAGCTGAGCAGATGAAGAAACAGGCCTGTTTTTGCAATTTACAAATAAAATATTTGCAAAAAAAAAGACACATTTAGCTGTAAAGAGTCAGCTGGATGAGATTTTTTTGCCTAAAGTAACTACTTTAGAATGTAGAGGACAAAAAAGTAAAGACTGATTTGTCCACAGGGGGCGCCAAAATTCCGACAAATCAAAAGTTCCTAACAGGAGCTTTAAGTCTTTTATGAGTGCGCTGATTCATTTTGTAACACAGATTAGAAAATGTCGATATTCAGTCAAGTGATTCATCTTTCAGTGTTATATGAATTTTAACTTCTGCATGTAAAAAGACATTAAAAAGTGCTCAAACCTAAACTTTGTTTCTTAGTTTGTAGACAAATGTTCTTGCCAATCAATCAACAAGTCTCTCAAAAGAGACTGACAGTGGTTGTTTCTGTGAGTGAGTGTGTGTGTGTGTTACCAATAGCTCTCGTAAAAGGTCTGGTTCCCTTTAAATGCACATCACGGAGCACAGACAAAAGATTCCCTGCTCATTCAACAGAATAAAAGCTGTGTGTGTGTTAGTGTGTGTGTGCACTTGTACTTGTGTATGTGTGTGTGTGTGACACAGAGAGGGAGAGAGACAAAAAGTTGTGTTTATTGAGCGTCTGGATTCAGAGCTCTGTGACTGAAACCTCTCCCTTCCTCTTCCTCTTATTTTCCTTCTTTTTCCTCTGGAAATCTATTTTCTTTCTAACCACTTCCTTCTTTTTCTCTTCTTCTTTTTCTGCCTTTTTCACAGGACACATTAAACAATAACTCCTTTGGGAAGAAATACAGCTGGCAAGAGAAGGTTTCAGGCTCGTCCTCGCCGCTTAAAACAGGTGAGTTTTTCCTTCCCCATCACACTCTCTTCATAATTTTAGCCTCAAACTGTCTGAGTTTTCTAAATTTATTCATTTTAACTCACAATTTTAAAAAGAATATGTTTGTTACGCTGGTGCTACTAAGGGGCAGCTGCAAGTGTGATTTGCATCAAGTCTGGCAGGCTGTTGGTCTTTCTGATCCTCAGGGGACAGCATTAAGGCTCAGATTAGCTCTACTCTGCTAAGTGTAGCTAGCTAGGCAGTGTTATATACTGTGTGAGTGAATGTGTTAGCCGGCTCAGGGCTTAGCTAGCTGGGAGCTGTCAGAGCTCATCCCCGCAGCTCTTTTCAGATCACCATTTGAGGCGAGAACCAAACTCACTGCCAGCACCGCTCCACTGTCAGAGAAAGTCAGCTCAGTAACTGGAGATGCTTCTGACACTGTGACATTGTGGATTTTCTATTCAGAAACACAGCTGAGAGGCTAACTGGACCTGCCTTAATGTGAAACATGTTTTATCAGGAGGTACAACAAGGCATGGATGCTAACAAGAAAAATCTAGGCTTCAGCATCGGTGTACAGTGATGCTCAATAAATTCAAACTGTGTGGAAGCACTGAGCTAAAAATGAAGAACAATATTTAGAGAATTGTTTGTTTGTCAGATGCAACTAATGCCTTGTCCGCTTGTCCGCTTAAGCAGAAACAGAAATATCTAGCGACCAAGTTCAAGATTGAAATGCTCCCCTGCTCACCCCTCCAGTAGGTGAAGCAACGGTGGCCTTTGAGGACAAATATCATCTGTAATGCATGAAAAGTGGTCCTCCATTTGCCAAACTTTTCCCATTAAGGTGTCAGGATTAATTCTTTCATGCACAACAACAACTTCCTCCTCTTCCTCTTTGAATAAGTTCATTTTACCTCGCCGATTATCAAGCAAAAGACTGTATGTGTTACGAGTTTGTCCACTCTGTGCAAGATAAAGCCATCCCATATGAGTTAATAAAGTCAAAAAGATTTGAGGTGATAACACACTAATGTTATATTCCATTTCTACTATGTTCTGTTATACACTACTAATACTGCACGCTGCGTCTTTAAAAAGTAGTTTATATTGTTTAATGACTTGAGGTTTTTCAGGTTTGCCTTTTTAAATATGCTCAACCTTCATTTATTCCTTTTGAACAAATATTGCATAGATGTGGCTGACTACTAACTTGCCACTCTGACTCTTAAAGGGGCCGATTATTGGCATACAGAAATAATCAACCTTACAGAAGCATTGGCACCCATGATGCTAATATCATAACGTGTTTTTCCTCACTTCTTTGAAAGCATATCTGATTTAAGACTTGATATCTAAGGGGTTCTAAACAATCTTATATTATTAAGAAATTAATTACAGTATTTTTCGCACTATACAGTGTTGGAAAAAAGTTTGGAATATTTGTCAATTCAACCCCAGCCTCGTGTTTAACGTGGTCTGCTGCTTTCTGGAGAATTATTCAAAGACTTTTTAATGTTCCCTGGTCTCTGTGATATGTTTTTGAAATTCACATCAAACTATTTTGTTTCTCAAAAAATTGTAGGGCGGACACCTCATGATTCACAAAAAGCCATAGAAATAACCCATAAAATCAAGAGTCGGTATTTAATAAATAAACGGCTGTAATTTTAAATTGCCACAAAATACGTTTTTTATTCACCTTTTTACCTCGTATTTTTCTATATTTTAATTTTTGCAGACAGCTAGATAGAAATCCAGAAATCCCTTGTATCAATATTACGACTGAGTCACGTTTTTCTCATCCAAACATCCTTCAAAGGCAGACAGAGCCTTTGGGACGACCAGTCTGTAATCTTATTAGGTTTCTGGGAATAATAATACAAATAAATATAAGAGCATAAGCAGGAGGGAAAAATGGTGATTGACCTCTGACAGTGCATTATGTCACATAACAAGTTACATCATGTTCAGACAACAATGTGATTATCCTGATCAGAGATGATCACAATGGCACTTCACGATCTAACAAAGATATTTATGTAACGCTCAGATGAGTCTTTTTTTTAAATCAGAGTCTATTTTAAGGCGCCGTTTGTTCAGACTCTAGGCTGCCTCAGCAGCGCCTGAAGATTATTAAAGGACCTCCTCAGACCTCGAATGTCCGTATGGACTCTAATGTCCTGCTGATTCATTGACAGAGAGAATATTATCTTTGGATTTCCTGACCGTGGATTATGACGTAACTCTATCATTTACCTCCTCCTGGCTGCTCTGTGAATTTGTTGAGTCATGGGGATTTAGCTGCGTAATCCTGACATCCGTTATCTAACCAACGCCTCTCTCCTCTCTTCTTGTTTGTGCTTTCCTTTTTTTATTCACTGCTGACATGTCCGCCTTCACGTCTGCTTGTGCATTTGTGTCCCGCTCCTGTCTGCACTTCTGCCTCGTGTATGTTTACTCCGTGCTCCTCTCTGGCTTTTGTGTGTGCTTGTGCGTCTGCCTGTGTGTTTCTGTGGCCGTCTGCATGCTGCTGTTTGCGTCTTTTCTCCCCGCAGGTGAGCTCACCCCTCCCCGTGAGCACAGCTGCCTGAGCGACGAGGACAAGGTGCAGGGCGGGGGAGCGCAGACCAAAGACCGTGGGACCTCCACAGACGCCCCCTGCAGGCACAGCCACACGTCTGGGCACTCGCACGGATCATCCACAGGGGCAGCGACCCGATCCAAAGTTTCAGAGAAGCCGCCCGCCCCGCCTCCACCCCAGAACTACACGCCAGCTCCTCTTTACCCAGCAGGGAAGGCGGATGGAGGGGGAAACCATCGGGAGAGGATCCGCTACCAAACGGACGTTCATTTAGAGCCGACAGAGGAGATCTATCTGACCCCTGTGCAGCGCTCCGCCGACCCCCTAGATCCTCCCAACGCACAGGACCGGCCTTTCCTCTCGCAGCAGACTGAGCAGGGCCGCATGTCCATCAGCTCCGACACAGAAGGCCCGCCTCCTTACCAGCCCCTTCCAGACCGGACAAACCCCTCCATTTACGAGGAGGACGAGGTCTACGTCCCCCCGCCGTCTTATGCTTCCTGCGTCGAGTCCCTCATAACTCCACCCAGCATGGCTCGCTCTTCCCTTGCGCTGGATCTCAGCCTTAAGGGGGCAGGAACGGGGGCCGGGGTCATGCTAAGAGGCGGGTCATCGGTGGAGTATGTGGACGCCACCGATGACAGCTACTGCGGGGAGGAGGACGAGGATGTAGACCGGATAATAATGGATGTAAAGATGAGGAAGGGGGGAGGAAAGGGGAATGGCGTTGGTAGCAAGTCCGCCCCTCTAAGGACTTCCATGAGCTCGGAGGCCAGCGGGCTCTCGTATGACTCAGTCAAGTACACTCTGGTGGTGGATGAGCATGCTCAGTTGGAGCTTGTCAGTCTGCGGCAGTGTTACCAAGGCTACAGCGACGACAGCGACTCGGCCACAGTCTACGACAACTGCGTCTCTTCTCCGTACGAGTCGGCCATCGGGGAGGAGTACGAAGAGGAGGATGAGGAGGAGGACAGCTCTCGGATAGGAGGGGTGAGGAGAGAGGCCACCGCGTGTCTGTCTGAGGACTCAACTCCAGAGGTGGACCTGCACTTCTCCAAGAAGTTTCTCAACGTGTTCATGAACGGACGCTCTCGATCCTCAAGTAAGTCCATCTCTTGATAATAAAAGTTCATTTTGAAATATTTTTAATCTCAGAACAAGACTTTTTTTTTTTTAGTTTGGATCCTGATGATTCAGCAAACCAGTGTCAGGTAGTTGTGGCGCTGTGGGCAGGTGTATCTCCGTAAAGCTTCTCAGCAAATGGAAGCATGAAACGCTCTCAAATCTGCCGGTAGACTTTAATCTGGGCTGAACCAGAGTGAGAGAATAAAGGCTCAGTAAACCTTTACAGGTGTGAAGAGTCAAGAAGCTGATGAGTACGGTGGCCCTGAGGTGCAAAACACAACAGCACATCAGAAAACACAACACAAAAAGAGAAAACACAACAGCAAATCAGAAAACACAACATTATTAACCATTGTTTATTCTTTTTTTAACCATTGTGTTTTCTCTTTTTGTGTTTTCTGATTTGCCGTTTTGCACCTCAGGGCCACCGTAGATTAGAGCTCTTTTCAGGACTGAAATACCTGACAATAAACAGACTTTTCCGCAATATTCTTCCTTTTTGAGATATTGGATTTTTGTGAGCTAGAAGCTTTTTTTCAATCAATCAGTCTTTATACAGCACTTTTCATACACAACCATGTAGCACAAATTGCTTTACACAGAAAAAGGAATAAAAGAAACAAAGAATACTCTAATCTACCCCAGCCCAACCCCTCATTCCCACCCCATGATCTAAATGCATCAGAAACAGTATTAAAATGCATGAACGAAAAAAGGGCTTGATTTTGTAGAAACAGGGGTGTGAGCACTGAGGAAACGTCATTTTAAAACTCAAGATAAGGAAACACTGGAGGTTTATGTTAAAATCTAAAAACAAAGTAGCATAGAATGAAATTTAAGAAATAATAAATAAAATGAAATAAAAGCAACAGTAAAAGATAGTAAAATAAGAGCAACAAAATGGTTCGATAAAAGACGATCCTGTCATTAAAACTAGAAAGAAAGAAATGCTAAAACACTTAAACGAAGATAATGATATAAAATTTAGTTACAATGTTTTTATCAAGATTCAGACAAAAAATCCTGAAGGATAATCTGATGAATCTAGAAGATATGGAATTTTTACTTTTTGTATTAAATTAGGAAAAAAATGAACTTTTTAGGACATTGTAATATTTTGAGCTGCACCTTACTGTATGTAAGTAAAAGATCTTTTAAAAAATTGGTTAAATATACCGTGTCCACACAGAGGTGAAGGAGAGAAGTGCTCAGGTTCAGTTTTTGCTCTGTAACTAGAAAAAGGCATACAGTGTGCAAATACATGCAAACTTAGATCCTGATTGTTTGCATTCCCTCAAACTGACTGTGTCTCTCCTGTCTCATTTCTACTTTGCATTAATATGACTTAAAGCTTATATGATGTGTGGGGAAACATCAGGGCTGCAGGTCAGCCTGCTGTATTGTGTGAGGTTCCCTTTAATCATGCAGTAGCACAGCAGTAAATGCAGCCCGGCCACATAAGCATTGTGGTTCAAAGAGCTTAAAGCCTTAAATGAGGCTGATGATGCAATCTGCACAGAGTCCCAGCGCTGGAATATTCCCGTTCAATGCCGATTATCATCCACATGACATCGCATTTATAGCTGAGAGCACCAGAAGGCACGAACAATGTTTTTGTAGCCTTCAGTTTTGCAAAGTAAAATTTTAAAGATGAGTATTTTTAATTGTAAACCACATGAAAGTCACTCTGATTCAGGCCACATCAGCCTCCTCAGCATGTAAGTCTTCAAAGTCAAAGCTGCAGTTGTCGATACAGTTATCAGTCTCTGACAGCAGCGCGCTGAAAGCAAAAACCGCAGCTGGATATTCAGATGCCCTGCAGGGTGAAATGGACGATGGGCCAAAAACAAGCTGCAGTTTCCCGAATTTGCCTCCAAGCTGTTTCCCCTTATGTTGTGCTGACAAATCACAGATTGGTAAACAAATTTGTTTATTTCATTTTTGTGTTTGCTTATACTTAACCCAAAAAATTTAGTCCTTTGGAGAAGTTGAGCCCGAATTCTGTCATTTCTTTGGTTGTGGGTCTTTTTTCGTCACTGTGGGCCTCTAATTTCTTCAAAAGATTTAGATGCAGCATATCGTGATGAATAAAAAGCACAAACAGATATCATATTTTTGTAAATGAGCCCTGAAAATAAAAAAAAAACTGCATATTGGGTTCACTAAAGAGGTTCATGTGGCCTGTTGATAAATTTATGAAAACGGTTCATCTATAGGCAAGAAAGGTAAAAAATGTTTTGTACCTGACAAGTTTCAGCTACACCTCTGATGAAGGCCGCAGAGGCGAGGTAGCTGAAACTTGTCAGGTACAAAATATTTTCTGGCCTTTAATGACGAACCATTTTTGACAAGATCAAGCATATTGGGTCGTTTTAGGGCTTAAATCAATCCTCCAAAGTTACAAATTTTTAAAATTTGCTGTTAGAAATCCAAGATTTCATTTGTGTTGTGATAAACAGAAAGAAATCATGACAAATTTGAAAACCTCTCTGCACACATCCATCGATATCATGATGTGTTTGTATGTGTGAATAAAGCAGCAAACTGGAGATATAAACAGACAAATATAAGGAGAGAGATCCCTCCATTATGTATGTGTATGTGGTCATTTCCTCTAATAGTCCTCAAAGTCCTGTTGAAAGCCGTCCACACGTTTCTCAGACTCATTAGAAACACCACAGCAGTTTATCTGTGCGGTGCAGGAGGGATAATGGGATACTCTGGGGACTGCAGGTACAAATACGCAAACGCTCGTCTGTTTCACGCCTGATTAAAGTTTGATTCATTTGTTTAGAAGAGTGCGTCTGCTTCAGAGTGAAGGCAATGGGGCTTAATTGTGTTTTTGTTTGCATATGATGGACTTTTCTCGCAATTCAAAGTCCACCTCGTTAATCATTTTCCCGCCATAACACTCTGACTGACTTTTCCCCTGTTTTTCTTCTTCTTTGGATTTGAAGGTGCAGAGTCCTTCGGCTTATACTCATGTATCATAAATGGAGAGGAGAGGGATCAGACTCACAGAGCCGTTTACAGGTAAGAAGAGAAGAACTATCTCCAACTTTACCTTCATCATGAACATTTCCGTACACTGAGATTTAGCTGCAATCACGATTTTGGTCTTCACACAATGCAGTCATTCGAAATCTTTCAGGAAATACATTAACCTATTTAAATTACAACATATTAAGGTCTACGTCATATGGGAGGCGGGAGAGCTAGCATCCACAAGAGAATGAGCGGCGTCCGCATCACTGTGTACCGCCTTTTTGAAGAATACATATATTTTCAGTTGGGATGCTGAACGTTCGGGACAATTCGGCGCTCCATCCATGACCATTATCTTTGTTTTGTTGGCTGCAAACATGATAGAAAGGAGCCAGAACCCCAAGTCTGAACTTCACGGCGAAGTATATCAGCACACTAGTATGTTATGAGATATGGAGAGAGAAGCGAACAGAGAGTCCCGCTCATCGCAAGGGAATCAAGAAGGCAAAAAGTTGCATACATTCACACTAAACATGATACTCATCTTGCAGTTGTCACTATGTTGTTTGCAGAACATTTAAATGGCGTTTGACCCTTTATTTCGTCCTGTTGACACGTTGCCAACACAAACACGGGTTAGCAGTGTGTTTCATTAAATGCAGAGGAAAGACTGAGGGTATATGTGCTGGAAATATCTGCTATGACCTTCATTTTCAAAACTCAGGGATAAGAGACCTCCATGAAGTATTATTTTTACATTGATTCTGATATTTATAGCAACTTAAATCAAATACTAGTAATTTAAAATGAAATTAAAGCGCAAAATGAACTGAAATAATACCTACAGGAAGTACAGTAGTAAGTATTGGTTTGTTATGTCTCTTCTAAAATAACCACACTGGTCTGGGTAAACGTCTGAGATTTATCACGCGTGCTGACAGCCTCAAGCTCGGCCAGACTTCTCGTCTCTCCAGCATTCAGAGATCCAAACTCTAGATGTTCATGGCTGGTTAGCTCTGAAAACCAGCTCTGACTGCGACTCTGTCCACGCTGCGCTGAGCTGTGATTGGTCGGTCAGTTTCTACCTTAGCCCCTGACACTTAAAAGACACACAGATAATTTCATGATTCCTCTGCCTCTTAAATCTCTAATCTTTCCTCGTTTGTCGTCTGATGCCGAAAACGCTCTGTTTCTTCATGTTTCCATGGTAACGTTCACACTCCAGCTGGCAGCGTGCACTTACAGCTGCTGATGAAGACCTCCGGCTGATTAATGCATAGAGGAGGGGGGACAAAAATAACAGCAATGCAGTCATGTGAAAAGCAGCATCTCTGTACACTGAATGTGATGATGCTGGACATTATTTATGCACGGCTGAAGGCGCAGGCTCGTTTCAGTTTTTATTTCATTTAAAGGTTATCTACACTGAATTCATCTTATGAATATTTATCACTTAGAAATTATTGATTAGCATGGTTATACGACTGTCTTTTAGTAAAACCTCAGTTTGAGTTATAAAAAAAACTCAATTTTCCTTGTTCTGAGTTGTGATTTACAGCCTTATATCATAAGGTAACAGTTGTGATTGACAAAATGTCATTTTTCCTTTATGAGCAAAATGGTGCAGCTCACATCCGCCAGGCTTTAGAGTTTGTTACATTTTGGTAAAAGGTGCAGGGAAATCCTAAATGTGCAAATGGACAGCAAAGGAAATTCATTCATAGAGTTTAATTTAATGTGGACTTTCGATGGGTTTTTGAAATGGATGTGAAAGAAAAGACTTCAGTAGTGCCCTACATTAAACCTTCAGGGACATGTAGTCAAAACAGATATTATGAAATGTATTTGTGGTGCAGAAAGAGTATAAGGTGGTCTTTTAGCCAAATGATGGTGAGATGAAGCCTCTTGAAGCATTCCAGCCAATTGCTCGACTCCTGGGCTTCATGTGCTCTACTGCGCCATCAAGTGGACAATAAATGTAAAACAGACAGAGTGATGATCAAGGCACCCTGAGTAGAGGCTTTGGTGTGCAAGCTTTTTATTGAATAAATGAATGAGTGTGATACCAATACAGAAATGATGAAGTTATTAATAAGGTGTCTGTCTTTATGACACAGTAGCAGGGTCGAGAGGAAAAGGACATGAATTATGGAGAGGATTGTGATGTGAATGTGCTTGTGTTACTTGGTTTGTGTCAGTGCTTTTGCTATGGGGACAACATAGAACACCTTATCGTTACATTTATTTTTATTTAAAAACACCTTATCAATAAGTCTCAAGCCTACGGACTGTGATGGGGACCCCATTGCGTTTCGCCGCCATCCGCCAAACCCACAAACTGTTGGTACTGTTGGCTCATGAGGCTTCGAACGTCATCACATACATCATCAACACAAGCCTCGATACATGCTTCACACGCTCCGAAGCCTTTACACGAAAGGACACATCACCAGTTTTAGCTCCTTAATAAACAGTATCTCTTCAGTGATCCTCAAATCCTGAACTTTGATTGATTTGCCTTGTCAGTAATAGGACTTATGTTGATATGAACTATTTAGGTTTTTTAGTTACAGGCGGCCGTGAGCTTTCTTCACATCTCAGTTTGGCACACGAGCCTTTGTTAATTCCTAAAATTGTGATTTTGGATGGATATGCTTAAAGGTTTGAGCAAATAAGATTCTAACTCTGTTACATAACTTAAGAGTAAAGAGGATTAGAGCTTCTCATTGTTAGTAAAAGTGGATCTGTTTAACAGAGATACCTCATGCCACCCCTGCAAAAGACAGCGCACCAGTTTGGCAATCGTAGTTTTAAAAAAGTCTGGACATGCGTCTCTATAACGACATCTGTCCCGACAGGTTTGTCCCCCGACACGACGATGAGCTGGAGCTGGAGGTGGACGATCCGTTGCTGGTGGAGGTGCAGTCGGAGGATTACTGGTACGAGGGCTACAACATGCGGACTGGAGCGCGGGGGATCTTCCCAGCTTACTACGCCATCGAGGTGGCCAAGGACTCAGACAGTGAGAAAGGTACTGACAGTGTCACTCTTAAAACTTACAGAGAGCTGTCAGTGTGTGAGTAAAGACGCTGAAATAGGACTACAGTAGAAATTACAGTACAAATATATCTCAGTGACAGAATCTGAAGAATGAGCTGAAGCAGACCGGCTCATTTACTGTTTTGAGGTTTTTCCAGCCTTTTCACACAAATACACTCGTGCTTCTTTGAGTCACCGCACGCTAGTGTTGCTGAGAGCGATCTAAATATAGAAGTAATTCATATTCAGAACGAGACAAAGCAGGGGGAGGTCATAGAGGAAAACAGCAAAGATGATACACAGGAGAGATAAGAGTCGGTAAGAGCCTACGGCTGTAAACTCTGAGTTTTTACACGGTAAAAGAGGGGAAATAAGGCCATAAAGTGGGTTCTTCTTTTTATGGTTATATAAACATACATAAATGTGCACAAGTTCCAGAAAACTACATGAAGCTAAAAATTAAATATGTTAAAAATGGCCAGAGTAAGACAGACAAGGAGAAGAAAGAGAAAAGAGAATACAGAAGAGTAGAGAAGCATTTTAAAAAGTACTAATATTGTGACAGAGCAGAAGGAGAAGTGAAGGAGGGAAAAGGTGGAGGATGAAGAGGAAGAAAAGGGAGCAAGAAAAGACAAAAAAACACGAATTATGATTCTGAGGAGAAGAGAAAAAGGACGCTGCTTAGATCTCACCTGGATTCTACTGTCCGCATAAATCACAGTAACTCAGTTTTTGTCTTCATATCATATTTGTTACCTCTCATGATCGTTTCTGATTACATGCTTGTCCTTCTTTTCTTTCCTCAGCCGTGAAGAGTAGTGAATGGATGGACAGATACAGGCTGAAGTTCCTGGGCTCAGTTCAAGTGCCGTACCACAAAGGAAACGATGTTCTATGTGCAGCTATGCAGAAGGTGCAGTACTACGAAACCATACTGTGCACATGAGTTATGAATGTTTGCATGCATCTCTGAGAGCCTGCAAAACTAAACATCACAAACACACAAGATGTTGTCCAAGAAGACAGTTAGACATTTTCACACGCGTTACATCTCTGCGTTTGTTTCCCAGATCGCCACCAACAGAAGAATGACAGTGAAGTATAACCCGCCTTCCTCCTGCATCCTGGAGATCAGTGTGAAAGGCATCAAGCTTTCAGTCCAAGAGGATTATTATGCCTGCGACAGAGTAAGACTCTTACCATCCCTTTGTCTGTCTTACGCAAAGAAATTAAGATCAGCTTTATGAGGTTTTGTCAGATAAGAGCTTGTCCGCACGCCAGGATCCTTACCAAGATTTGATGTATGTCGCCCTCATGTGGCGGCCGATAGGGACTGCAGACGGAGAGTGAAATGTAGAGTTCTTGTAGTGATGGTGATCCTACTACTCCTCCAAGACATTTAATCTTGTGTTTGTCTGCCCCACAGAGCAACGAGTGCAATCACTTCTTCCAGCTAAAGAACGTCTCTTTCTGTGGGTATCACCCCAAAAACAGCAAGTAAGTGAAGGCAGAATAACCCGAAAACAGATCTTCACGTTATAAAAGCTCACGTGTTGTTCTGTCTGAACAGAAAATGACAAACTCTTTCTGAGAACTGCCTTTTTGTCAATCTGCAGACCAAGTTTACCTCAAGCTGTTACCAGAAAGAACCATTATGTACCTAATCCAGGCCTTTTGACTTCTAATTAATACATGGCAAAAACAAATTAATTATATTAAAAAAAGTGACTTTCCTCTTTTCTCTGCAGATATTTTGGTTTCATCACTAAACATCCTGCAGATCAGAGATTTGCCTGCCACGTGTTTGTGTCTGAAAACTCCACCAAACCTCTTGCTGAGTCAGTAGGGTGAGTTGGACTTTCTTTGCATCAACCAGAAAGACTTGAATTCACTGTACAGAAGAGGTTTGTGCATCGATTTTACCTTTGCAGATGCTTGATTGCATAAGAAAAAGATGCTTTAAATGTGCTTTAGCATTTTCCTGAGTTCAAAGAGTTGATCTGTTAAAGATCATTGCTTTGTTCTTAGTTTTCTTCTAAGGTAAATAGATATTTACACCTTTAAAAGACATTGTCCTTATACACACTTTAAACCAGAAGTCTCTGTGATGCATAATAACTTTTTAAAACCATCCATCAACATAAATTATTTTCCGCACAACATCAGCTCTCTTCTTCTTCTTCCTGCTGGATATTCCGATATTGTTGCACGCTAACTTTGTTTGGGCTCGTGAACGACTCGAGGGAGCAGCGTCCGCCTCACAACGGACGGTTTATAGTCAGAAAGAGCGAGCCACTCAAAAAACTTAAAATGTTGACTACACAGGCATTACAAAACACAGCGATATCGATATTTACCAAATGTCATCAATAACTAATAGCTATTGACTGATATTAAAAGCATTTTTGTATATACACCATATACACTTTGAACGCAAACAACCAGTTTTTAAAAGTGCCACCACTAGAGGGCACCAGTTTCCGCCCTCCAGCAAACCTTAGATGGTGAATGCTTGTTGAAATACCAGTGTTCTCGGTGAAGTGTGACCCAATTTTGATAGACTCAATAATTGTCCATGAGAATCATTGTTTGTGGTCTGTTGTGGTCTGTAACTGACTGAAGTTCTTGTCTGTGTCTTTCAGGAAAGCTTTCCAGTTGTACTATAAAGAGTTTGTGGAGTACTCCTGCCCCACAGAGGACATCTACCTTGAATAACCCTGCCCTGCCTTCAACCACAGCCCTGTACAGTACACTGTATCATAACATAAATCTGCATGAAGGACAGACATATCTAAAAGTTAAAAAAACAAAAGGCAAACTGAAAAATTAACACATCTGACAAACAACAAAGAGAAGAACGATCAAGTGTGGTACTGTGGTCTGCTGAGAAGGAAGGGAAGGAAATGAGCCAAAGGAGGAGTGTCCTGAGAGAAGAAAATATGCAAAACGGAGTAAGTGGCGAGGCGTTGAAACACAGGCTGCCCGTGGAAAGCACAAACATTGTATCACCACAGCCTTGGCAGCGATAGTTAGCCTGTTGCATCATCCCGGCTGATGAAACACTGAAAGCCCAGGAGCCGTACCCGACTGAACCAGCGAGAAGCTTTACTAATTTAGAGAAAAACTGCAGCTGAGACGAGGAAAAATGAACTCATGATTAGTTCAGTCTGAGCACAAAAGGAGGTGTATATGTACCGATTAACATCCTCACACTGAAAATGTACACTTAGTAAATCAAATCCATGTAGGAACAGTGAATTTTATCCTTTTAGTACACCTGAGATGAAGGTGATAATCACATAGTTCAACAACAACAACAAAAAAATCCACTATGAAACACTCCAGGTACAAGTGATGCTTTTTGCACTTTCAGTGAAGAAATCTCGACATTTTCTTGAAACTTTTAAAATCAGAAAAGTTTATCTATCAATGGAAACAGCAGGTGTTGTTATTGTGGGGCTATGAAAGCACTTATATTTTACCATATTGGAAAAACATGGGGGTTAAGGGGAATTCTCTGGCCTTTTCCCTCTAGTGGACATTTGAGGAACAGCAGTTTTTTTGCATTTCCCCTTTCGCTTCATTCTTTAAGATTAGTGGTTTCGGATTGTGTGAATATGACTATAGGGCTTGTGACGTATTCACAAATAAAGCAAAGGTTGGTGATTTGCACCAAGTTCGGAGTAAGAAGTGCAAGAAAATTGAGAAAAAAAACACATAAAACCCAACAAAGACTAAACATGATGTGTAAGAGCAGTAAATACAGCTGAGAAAAGTCATTTATTAAAGGGAATTATGCAAAAAAAATTATGCTTTTAGGCCTCTGGAAAGTTTTCCAGAAGTTTTCATTAAATGCAAACCTGAGCTCAGACTAAAATATGCAGTAGTGCTTTTTTGTGATGAACACCTAAGGAACGACCATCGTCACTTTTCTCACAGCAATTGTGTAACTTAAGTGATACATTTTATTTTGGAAAGACAACAAGAGGATATGTTTTGTTTAATCACACTTTATCTCAAAAAATGAGTCAAAATTAGCAACTATGTAAGTGATTTGTCCACAGGGGGGACGTCAGAGGCAACACAAACAGAAAACTCCTCACAGGAGCTTTAATGGACAAGTTTGGTTTCGTTAAGTCTTTCTTTTAAATTTTTTAACTTAGAAACTTTAATCCAATTATCATGAAGCATTCAGATGCAAAAAAAATGTTTTTTCTCCATCGCTTGTCTTCAGACTTTAGATAAAAGTTTAGATAAGATGCCTGAACTCTGAGCACAAAAGTGTATTACAACAGCAGGTTCCCGAACGATCACTTTTGTGGTTTTTAACAGGGAGAAAGTGAATCACAGTCACATCAATTAAAGTAGCAGACTGTGGATTAGCATACAGTTGCAAGGAATTGATGGTCACAAACTGAAGAAAGTGCAGACATTGCAACTTATATTAAACTCCTGAATTGCACTCAGCATCACTTGTCCTGGATAAAAACAAAACTATGATGGATGAATGAAAAAGTAATTTTCCTTTCGAGCTTTCAGCTGCTTCTTTTTGTAGTGCTAAGCTGAACCACCCCAAACAGTAAAGCCTTAGTCAGTAGTTCAGGGTCTAATGATAGACACTGCGCTTTTTATCCTCACTCACCAGGACTGAAATCTTGAGTGGATAAAGTCGAAGCCCAAAGTAGCGAATCTTCTTCATGTGATGGTCTAGAGACGTGCTCCTCCTGGTCTTCACATCAGACACATGAAATGCTCTTGGTGTGGCAGGAACTAGACAAGGCAGTTATACTTTGAGCTGTATGTGCAGGTGCTATAAAGGGAGCAAAATCGAATCTCTGGTGTCTTCATATCTTCACTAGTAGTGCCTCTTCTTCATCAGATCATTGTGACCTTCCTCAGTCGACATTATCACAACTTTTAAAGGAGTTGCCATGGAGTGTGTGTTGAGTTGAAGAGTTTGACTGCAAATTGGGATGTGGAGGGATGTTTGACGTGACTTGTGCTTTTTTTCCCCACTGCCAAAAAATGCTGCACTGTACCTGTGGTGCACATATTTGTTTGGAGGTGCATGTGAATTATTCAACCCCTACATGGAAATTGTAAACAGTAATTTTTCACACAATGCTGGTCCGGTTTCAAAGCATGAACCCTAACTCACCATATTTACTGCACACAGGCCTGTGTAATATGCACTTCTGCAAAGACCAGCACAAGTTGAGCACCTGTTAAACTATACCCATCAGTTTCCAGTTTAAGCCAGGGCCCAAATATGCCCACAGGTACAAAACAGTTTTATTTTTTCAGCAGTGAAAAAGCAAGCAAAAAAGTGAGCTTCCTTCTTCATTTATCACTGACTTTAATTTCTAACAGATTCTCTTGCTTCACCCGTCTTGAACTGAAAATGAAAGATTGATTCATGATGTGGAAATCATCGCCAGTCCCCATACTTTGTTCCTTTTAAAGAGAAATCATCAGAAGTTAGTGCCGATCAAAGCCATTGTGTTTGTATCAAGAAAGAAATGAAGACTGAATTTTCTATAAGTTCCCCTCAAAAGCCAATCAGGCAGACAGGAGACAATGTAAAGAAATGGGAGCTATACAAAGGGAGTATAGACATGCCATATATAAATAAATGATTTAATATCTGTAATTATGAATTTAACATTGTATTGATTCAAATGTAGTATGTGAGATTTCTTTTATTTTGGAATTTTTTTAGGTGTGAATTTTTCTTTATTTAAAGATTTTAATGCAGAATTCTCAGTCTCCTGTCTTTATTACATTATTTGCATGCATGTGCACACACACTTTACCTAAGGCCTGTAACAAGAAACAACTCAAACATACCCTGGGTATTTTTTAATTACCTAGCTAATGGTTTTTTCAGTTGTACTCGGAAGTCGGGATTTCCGTGCCCTGAGTCAGAACTTTCAACTGGAACAACCCCCAAGGTCGAATTTCTACGAAAGAGGATTAGGGCCACATGAAGAGAAAAAAAAATAATCACAGGAAGGAGATTAAAGTAGAAATTTCAAAATTTAAGTCAAGATTTCGAGATTAAAAAAAAAATCAAAATTATGTCAAGGAAGTTGAAATTTTGAGATTAAAGTCAAAATTTCAAAATTAAAGATGACGTGAATGAAGTCAAAATTTTGACTTTAATCTAGAAATTTCGACTGTAATCTCGAAATAGATATTAAAAAAATCTCCCTCCTGTTATTATATTTTTCTCTTGTGGTCCTTATCCTCTTTCATAGATTTCCGACTTGGAAAGTCGGATGGTCCACACATTATATTTTAAGATGGCGGTACCAGTTGTGAACTGTAAGCAGAAGCTCCTGTAATCCTTTTAATCACTTTTTTTACTATTTGTTGTCACGATAAGTCAACAATGGTATTGTTAGATGTATATGTATGGAAATGCTGACATAGTGTAATTTAAATTTTTCTTGTGTATATGCAAACTACGGAGCAGGCCGTGCTAACAACGGCTAACCATAACCTGGTTGTTTCGTAGATGTAGCCATCTTGTTTCTGCTTCCGTTTTTTGCCATTGGGTACTTTAATCCGACTTTGTAACCAAAACGCTGATAACTCAGGTGTGACGTCATTCCCAGCTCCAATTTCCAAGGTAAATGGAACACACCATAAACCCCCAAGGACTAGACTGAGATAGATATCAGCTGTTGTTGACAAACAAACTTCAAATGGATGCAAAGTTTGTTGTCGTAGCAACAGTCTGAAAATGGCCAGTTTCTTCTCACAAAGACAATGAAACCATTATTTATGATGTTGACATGACAGTATTTTAACTTCCCACATCATGACTCCACAAAAAGATGGCTGCCATAGAAATAAAGTCCCTAGGCACCTTTTCTGACACTCTTTCTCTAATCTTAGCCTGGCATACGTCTTGTAACTGAAGTCAAAAGGTTTTAAATGGAAAGGCACAAGTTGAGTTTTTTCTTCATTTTATTCCAACATGCTCTTGTTTTGCAGGTAAGAACAGTCTGATCACTTATGACATCTACTGTGTGCCTGTCAGTAATATTCATCCTCCAGGTTAGGTTCATAAGGATTTTCAGATGGAGAAGCAGGAGGAGGAGGAGGAGGAGGAAGGGGCATCTCGCCGTATTCTACTGCAAAACATAAGTACAAATAAGCATCTGAGAGAGGTTTTGTCCAATATATATGCATAATATCAGGTGTATTTTTATTCTTTATACTGTGATTAAATCACTGTTTCATTGGGATTTGTGAAAAAACCTAAATGGACTTTGCATGCGGTTGACCTACCATCAGAAAAGCTAGCAAACTGTTCAGGAAGGTCAGGGTCAAAGATGAGCTTCATCTCTGCAACTCCATCATCTTGTTTCCTGAAAGGTTGTCATGATAAAAAACAAATTGCTTAGTTTGTATCTTTGTATCTTTAAAGCGTGCTAACCCGAACAGATCTTGAAGACTGTAAGAGTACCTGCACTTTGTGAGACTGGCCCAAAGGGTTAAAACTCCCTCCACCTCTTCTGAAATCATTAAAACAGGAGAAACAAATGTAAAGCAAACATACCTGCTTAGTGCAGTCGGAGCAGCTCCTCCACCAATCATAAGAGAGCAAACGAGAGCAAGGATGAACATTTTTAAAGCCTTCCTTTCTGGACACATTGTTAACTCTAATCCCTGCGCAAAGTGAAGAATCAAATCACAACAAAGTCATGTCCTTCTTCAGTAAATTTCTAGATTTGTTATTTTTCAAAAGAAAACATGTTTAGTTTATTTTTTTCCAGCACTTTAATTTGCTATCAGACGGCCTACTCATTTTTGCAACACTCATTTTCATTTTTGACTGCATGAAGAAGACCTTTATTTTTCCAAAACTTGCCTCACAGAAGCCAAGGCATTTGTGAACAGGGGTTGTGCGCCCTCTGCTGGAATATTATGGCACATTCATCATCTTAATCAAATGCAACAAAATGTTTACTGTTTGGCACACCACAGTGTGTGACAAAACTCAATATTGGATATTAGATAAATTTATAATATTACAACATTTTGCATATTAAATTATAATCATAATATAAATTATATTTTCAGACCACTAGACAAAAAAAAAAAAAAAAGGTAATTTGTGAAATTAGATGGATTTCTGACATGTTGCTACCATCCCAGGGATTGGGGTTGGTTACAACATTTGACTTTTTTTTTGAATGAATGAATGAATATTGTGAAAAATCTGTCTTATGTGATCATATTTAAATGGTATGGGGAATTGAGGATAGATGTAAATTTACTGTATAAATAAATAACTGGCTTAGTCCAAATCACCTCTGTGTAACTGAGAGAAACGTAAAAACTGTTGCAACTGTCCCCAGTCTCCCCTACCTGACAACAAAAATACATTGTTATAATTATAACTTTTTTCTTTTTTGCTTTGAGGTGCAATGCGTAATAAACCACACTTTTATAAGGCATTATGCTCACAGCGTGTAACACTCCATCAATTTTGATCTAAGCTGTTATGAATGTATGTTGTCACTCATAAGGGTTGTAATACAGCCTTGTAGATTCTTTGAAAAGACTTCATAAGTGTTTATTTAGGGCATTACTGACAAAACAATATGGCAAGTAAACAATTATAGGACTCTGTTAGGATAGGTAGGATTCTGCACCTTTCTAGTCTAAAAGACTTGGATTTTATCGTATCAGTGGAGCGACTACACAATTCTGTGTTGTGTTGTGTTTCGCTCGCTCCACCAGCAGGAGGAGATGCTGCTTCACAGACTTGATTCCAGCCGCTTTCTTGGTGTCCACGTCCAGACTCTGAGGTGAGACCAGAGCTGGAGACTGAGAGCAGCAGAGCATAATGTGAGTTCACAGTGGGCTCAGGTGATACTGCGAGGTGAGAATGAAACTCAGAGGTGTGTGAGTCTGTACACAGGGAGGGAGATAAATGGGACGGAGACAGCAATGATGCTACCAGGTGTGTGAATGCTGTGAAGGTTAAAGCAAGATATTGCATGTAGAGGAGGTTTTTTTATATATATATCTGGGTGAACAATGCTTGGTGGATGCTACAGTGTGGCCGCTTTGAAAACACAATCCAGAAGGAGAAACTGTAGAAGTGTATTTGCCAGTCATCCAGATGAGGGCTTGTATCTGTTTTTTCTCATACATTGAAGTATAATTTAAGATACAATCCCAGACTAAAAGCTGCAATTACATGTAACATAATTAGAAAGGTTTTCTACGCAATTTTAGTCATTTCCAGAGAGAAACCGAATTTAGCCGTCTGCACAGTTTCACATATGCCTTTCAAAAATGTACCTGATGTTGCTCCTGTCACTGGTCTTCATCAATACAACCTGCAAATACAGAGAAGGGACATTTTATCTGTCATAGCCATGTCCATATCTGAGATATTAAACCCTTGTGTTGCATAGTCTGATGCTTCCTGGACTCTTCCTGCTGATGGACAGAGTGCCCACTGTCTGCCCCTTTGCTCTATGACTGTCAATGCAGTCTCTCTCATTCTCCACAGCTGGATGTAAAAGCCAAGAAAAAACCATCAGAGACAATCTTGGCGCTTCCGGACTTCACATTCTGCTCTCTGATTTTTTTTTCTCTCACAGAAAAGACCCTCTTTTTACCTCCACAAGGGTCTCTCTATCTTTATCCTCTGTGACATTAAATTTGCTCTTAATAGAAAAAAAAACACACACCCAGCTTGTAAACTAATTTCTAAACATAAAAGAAATGAAGGAAAATCCCTTATTTTTTGGAAGACCCCTGAATTTGACCTTTTGTTTGAATGTTTCAGCGCCATTTTGCAGAATGAATTGTCGTCCGAGTAACTGCAAAAGCTTTTTTTTCAAAATATACCAGGATGATATACATTGCAATGCAAAGTTGAAATTAATTCAGTCTTTGCAAAAAGAGAAAAGTCATTATTAAACATTATTAAAAGGTATGTAATATATCAATCAAAGTTCAAACAGTATCCTTTTAATGCAGTTGTGATGACCTAACTTGATTAAAATACCTTGATTTGATATCCCGATGTCGACAACAGCTTCTCACACTCACCACTGACAATGAGAAGTGGGCGTGGATGCCTGGATGCTTGATGGTGTTGACGGTAGCCGCGTGGATGTCAGCCCATGTTGATGACCCTTCTGTGATAGTCATTAGAAAGAGAGCAATCTGTGCGCCCTCAGACTGTTTCCAATATGGCTCTACAAAGTCAGACAACAGGAACGCATGTCAGAGCGATCAGTCATCAGCGCTGTCCCCCCAGCAGCCAATCAGGAGCATATTAATCAAACTAGAGGAGGAAAAGGAGCACGATTCTGTCTCTGTGCTGCACTGACATGGTCCTGCATGACAATGTCACAAATGAGTCTTCTGAGCAACATCAACACCAACCAGAGATGTAATATGCATCAAGAAGAGCATGAAATGAATGGTTGCTTTAAAAGTTGTTTAATCCTTTCTTTTTTGTTTCTGCAATAGATGTGCCTCTGGCTTCATTTGGAAGTAATGTTACAGCATTTAATGAATTAGTGGTTTAAACATTTGTAGTAGTTACTCTGGTCTTTGTGTCAGGGATTGTGAGCAACATCTTTTCTGGAAACTGCAGAGCAAATATTCATGTATGTCCCGCCATTTTAATTATGCATTTGTAGAGACTATTTATTGCTCCACTTATTGCATCTACTTATTCTTTGCTCGCTTGTGAGATCACTTTGCTTGTCTTGTCTTCCTTGCTTTGTCTGTGGGATCCTATCAAAATGCAGATGGTACATACTGTAAAAACTGAAATAGAAATGGAGATTGGCATTTGTTGTTACTCAGAGAAGATACTGTTTAGTTTCCTTAATCAAACCACCCCTGAAACATTACAAATTTTACATAAAACATCAACAGCTAATATGAAGTGCCTAATATACAGCTTTTTTTTTCTGCAATGCTACTCTTTGTTGTACATAAGCATCTACCTCAATCCCACTTACACAGATGACTTCCAATAAGACAACTATCAGTCCTTAAAGGGATATTCCAGCATAAATTTAAGTCATAGTCAAACACACTGTAACACTGAATTAGACATCCCCTTGAAAGATGAATGTTGCAGACTGCTTACTTCTTTAGTTATACAATTTTTAGCAACAACCGCACCATAGCAATACACAGCAGTCTACGTCTCCACGTGCAAAACTCAACCAAAACGCCACTCTATAGCCACAAATAATGCTCAGAACAGCACCTAACTTCATCAACAGTACATATAGAGTCCCAGCAATAGTACTCGCCATCAAACATCTTTTTGCTTTGCCTGGTTTCTTGAGCAAAGAGACTAAACACAACTCACCCACTCGCCACTTGCTTGTTTAGGGGGAGCCCTGATTAATCGATCACTGAGTGCAGCGGATCATTTCCATTAAGTAATAATTATCATAATAATAATAATTTTGCACTGCAGACATGGTAGTTCTTCTGCCTAAGTGTCTCGGTCTGATTGCACTTCCATGAAGCAACAATCATAAATGTTCTTCCTTGAGCTGTGAAACCCCACTGCACTCTGTGATCAAGAAATCAGGCAAAGCTAAAAAGATGCCTGATGGCTAGTACTATGGCTGGGGTCCTATATGTACTGTGGATGAAGTTAGGTGCTGTTCTGAGCATTATTTGAGGCTATAGAGTGGCTTTTTGGTTGAGTTTTGCGCATGGAGACGTAGGCAACTGTGTATTCCTATCGTGCAGTCATTACTAAAGTTGGTATAACTAAAGAAGCAAGTGGTCGGCAACATTCATCTCTCGAGGGGGTGTCTAACTCGGTGCTACAGTGTGTTTGACCCTAACTGAATTTTATGCCAGAATATCCCTTTAAACTTCCTGGTATGTTTCCAAAGTATAAAGTTAAGCTTCCTAAACATCAACAAACATTGTCATGTGACTTAACAAAAGTTATAACTATTAGAATAAGACAGAGTAAAATTTTGTACAGCCAGTATGTTGTAACTTCACAATTCAATGTGCAATCAGGCATACTTCATGACAGAGGCAGGTTTCTGCAGAGACAGGCTTGATCAGCTTCTCACATGGGAAAGGAAGGCTGTAAAGCCATATATCACCTCTGATTTGAAGTCCAGGGTTATATGATATTTCCATGTCCAGACGGATGTGAGTACTTTCTATTATAAGGTGACATTTCTTTTGTATCACCAACTGATAACTTAACATCACAGTGCAATTTAACTCAAATTAAGGTTTTTATTTATTGACTTTCCTTCCTATTGTTGTTTATTCTACTACTTTGGGGAATTCGAGGCATACACAATGTTACTGAACAATGGTCACTTGGTTGTGTTGCATCTATGATGGGACTCACCTGCAGATGTAAGTGTGGTAACTGCGAATGCTCCTCACAAAGAGGTCCTCACAGTCATTGCAACTAGATGCACCAAGGCTCTGTCTGGACATGTGGAGCACTGTGTCCTACCCCCTATCAGACTTTGACAGCCAAGTTTGTCAATTAA